TACTATATTATTACATTTTTTAAATATTGAATGTCGATATCTACATGTATGAGCTACGCCGGGTGTAAAAATCAAAGGTTAAATAAAGATAATAGAAACGGAGCCCTGTACCCGCATATTGATTTGAGGTTTTTATTTATTTTATAATTAGTATAACATATTGTTTTACCATTATGAAATTAAACAATACGGGTATCCCTTCGAAAAAAAAAATGTTATATATTTTACATTTTTATACAACAGTGTTACCGGTCTCATCGATAGTATAATATTTTAAAAGGAGCATTGAACGCAGTAGAAACTTGTCAGTTTGAAAATGAAACGAGTAAACTAGTATAGCGTATTGACGTCACCTGTACCTATTATATTTATATGTATTTTTCGCGAACAACATAATAGCGTATTTGTATAAACACCTGATACAAAGAAGACGGATTTGATAAAAAAAAAAAACTGTAGTCGGATAAATTAACTCTCCGCGCTCCGGACCTTCCTTTAACGTCGGTCTTTTTATGTCTAGGAGGGTCCTAATGTTGATTTCGATGGAGAAAAAGGTGATCCCTCGCTGTTGCTAGGTACACAAATATTTTCGTATCGGTTTATACACGTGGGATTCACATTGACTTATTGTAGCCACCGAGAACGGAGAGACACATATATTGTAGTCTTAACAAAACGGTATACGCCAAAGACGCTCATGCATTATAGTATGTATACCGTCGACTATAGTTTAGTTTTTTCAATTGGTACAATACTGTATGTAAAATGGGTTGTTTTCGATAAACGTTTTATTATTTAACATTAGTCAACGCAAAACAAATATTTTCCAGACATAACATTATTGTAACATATAACTGAAACGGCCAGAGTTTAATAGCCTAAAGCGCGATGGCCTGTGTAAAAGAACAAAATCGAAAAAAAAATATTGACAATAAAAAATAACTGTAAGTATGGTGTGTTTATTTTGACCGGGCGTGTTAGAATTTGAGAGCTCTTTGTATATTGACTATGGCTGAAGTATTTGTTTTCTATCGTTAACTACGGACAATACTGTTTTTTGAAGTATTATCATTTTTTTTTTCTTCAGAAACGTACACAGTTATTTAAATATCGAGCCATAAAGATCAATACGTATATATTGTACGTTTTAAAAATCAATGGCGCCCTGAAATATTTCAGTCGATATACTTGTCAAAAAAACGGTGTTGAAGATTGCAGCTATAGTTTTATTTTCTCAAACAGATATTAATGATGAAATATCACGTATAAATACATTACGAACATTTGGCTTCTTCCTCGATTTATTTTTGTAAGTGTTAATTTCTTCTATTTTACATGTAGCGTTCATTTGGCTTTCGTTTGGTTTTTGTAATTGTAAAAAATACCTAATAAAATGATTAATTTTAAAACCGTATAAATCATCAAAAGCAGTGTATTTACTAGTTTGCATATTCATTTCAAGTTGAAAACCAGATAAGTGTTTAAAGCAGACGAAAATAATTTTCCTCTATGCAATAATTATTAGTATTATAATTATTCGTCTTTGGAAGAACTCGCGGTATTTTGTAGATGAATCAAAGATGTTTTAATGTTTTACAATCGTAAGAAAAAATGTGTATTGCTATAATAAGACAAATCGATATTAAAAACAGGTTTTAGTACAAGAAGATAATGTACATCAAAATTATTCTCAATCGTTTAATGTTTGAAAACTATAATATGTATAGTCACGATAATTTGAATAGAAACGTATTAAATAATTATAAGACTTGTAATTTTACTATACTGTTGTCTGAAACGTACTATTTTTTTATTAGTAAATATTAAATAACAATATTAGAATAGTGGGTATATTAACAATATATTTTTTTCCTTCTTTTTATCAAATTCCTCTCATCATATTTTAGAATTTTGATTTTTAGTTAAGTAAAGAAATTCTTTTGCAGTAGGATAATTATACAGGTATAAGAAAATATTTATTTTTCATTTCGAAAGGTTTTATACTTTTAATTTACACGAGCAAAAGGAGTAAGTTAATATCTAACCTTGTCCTTGTACAAACTATATAATTACTGAATTAATCGTAAATTATTATACAATATTAATAGATTATTTATGTTTTTTTTTTGTTAACTTCATAAGTAATAAAATGTACCTACCTAAAATAAAAACGACATCTACGTAATTTTCAATATAAACTAGTTGTAGTAGTTGTACAGTAATATTCGAAGTAGTTTAATTAAAAAAAAACTGTGTAGATTATTGTAACTTTGTTGTTGAGCCTTCTTCGAATGTAATTCATACACTAAAACAAAATACATTTTGTATAACATTATTATTTATCAGCTTTGATGCAAAGCTGTGTTTTAATTAAAACGTAAATTTTTGTCAAAGACCACGATATCTTTTTAAACTGCTAAACCTATTTCTTCATTTAGCAAGCCTATGGATCAAAAATCTTATCTAAAAGGTACCTTTTAGGTCCGAAATTTAAAAAGTTCCTTCAGCTACCTTTCCCTTCAAAATTAACAAAACAATCCAACAAATGTACATATTTTTTAACTTAAAATTACTAGACCGTATAACTTTTTGAAACAAAGTTGATTTGCTTCCAAACTTGTGTAGGATATTCTTTATAGTACTATCGATGATGTACACTGACAAACCAAAACCATATCATAAGCTCTTCCTCTAGAAGCTGCGGAATCTCTCTTTTTTTTTATTCTTTTAGATTTTTTTTAAAGTAGTTATATACTTAAGATCTGAAAATTTGTCTGAAGGAAGATCTAGAGTGTGGTTCTAAATATTATACAGAATTTTTCCAACATTTTGTAACTAAACCTTATTTTCCATTAAAAAAAACCAAAAAAAAGGACAAAATGACACTCGCACAGCATATAACATTTCTAGGTTGCTAGATTTCCAGGTATATAAGCAATATGTGAAATGGGCACATAGCATTATGAATCAACAGGTATCTAAAAAATATTTTCATTATTTTGTTGATTACAATTTATGAGTAACAAAGACAACAAATTATTATAAATAGATGATCAACTGTAATCGTATCCACTCTAATAATAAAAATACAGATTAGTACACATTATTGTGAATTTAGCACATTATTGTTTTTACAAAGTTTTTTTTATCAATATTTAAATATTTCTACTAACTACAAATTCGCATCAAAGCATTTATTTTAAATTGTTTTATAATTTTCTGTTATAATAATTCCTGTACACCCGTGACCTCCCGGTCCTTAATATGTACAGCCCCCTAATTATTATTTTTAAATATACACAAGATATTATTAACTTAGTAATTAACCAATGTGTACTTTATTTTATCCAACAGACTGAAGGTTAAGCTTCAAAAAACAAATTACTTTTAATGACCAAAATATATACTAGTTCTATAAAATGATTAAATAAACAGTTTATTTTTTGTCTTTATATTTTAGTCAAATAGGATCAAAAAAACCTTTTTTTATAATTCCCGGAAACATAATTCTTTAGTTCTAATGTATTATCATAGTGATACATAAACCTACACATCTTTAAGTTTTAACTACATCTATTCATATAACATAATAAAGACTAGTATACACCTAGTATTATATTTATTTATCTATTGTTTAAATATTTTTCAACATTTTCTGTATATATTTTCTATATACCTACACACTTCCTAAATAAATATTTATTTCATTGTTAAGAGTGAATAAATATTACAATAATATAATCGTATATCATAATGAACGGTCATATGAATGGCTAGTGTATGTCTATTATATGGTCAACGCGAATGATTTGTGGTGTGTACTTGATTCAAACCGAGTGAAGTTAAAAAAAATTACATTTCATAAAAGAAAACCATGTAAATTATTTCTGTCGCACTGTAAGTGCCAAAATAAAATTTGCTTGTAAATTTAAAATAATACCTAGTATATGTAATTAATGACAGTAAATGTTTAATTAAGTTGTACAAATCCAACAAACAATTTTACTATCGGATACCTTTAAATGTCGGTATTACAATATTTGTTAGTAATCGTTCGAATAACATATTACTAAGTTTTAAACATGATATTTACTTGTTAAGTTATAAAGCTGTAGGTTTAAATTCAAATGTTATGCACACTACACTTTTTTAACTTTTGACATGACATTAAGGAATTCGTTATGTTTAAAAATTTTGCAACAATGAGTGTTGTCTTGATATTATTTTAATCTGTCTCGGACGAAAGCCAAAAATAATATCATGAAACGCGTAGATTATTTGATAAATCCGACTTAAAATTCCAAAAGGCAAAAACTCTACATCATATTACTGGCGCCCAAGTCTTAAAATACTACTTGACTAGTTTAAGGGATATAATTATCCTAATACGGAATAAATAACCAAACCATCGACCCCAATGCGTTTCAGTAAGAAAACATATGGATAAATTATAAATGCTTGTTATTTCGGCAAGCGCGATTGGAGGGTAAAAAACAGCCCCGCAAACGCAAGGACTTCCCCTCGGAAAGCGTTGCGCGGGCGCGTTTTCGTGACTTCTCTCGGCCCCGTTGTGGACGCTGCCTCTTCTGCGCGCGTCTACTAGACAATCGGTGGATGGGGCCAAACCCAAATAACGCCGTCGATCATTTGTCGTCACTCACCACTGGCCTCGCGGGAGGCGCGTGCACCACGCTAGTCGCTACAGATCGGTCCTAATGAAATAATTACAACCGCCGCTAGAAAAATAGTAATTTATAATAACAATATTATTAATGCGTTCGACCTGCCGGTCTGCAGACGCCGCCGCAGCCGCTCTTGCTGGCGTCAAAACTCGGTGCGTGCCCACGTTTTTCTCGCCGCGCTGTCGCCTGAATGACGGGTCGACGCTGCGGCGGGTGGAAATAAATGGCCCCGCGTAGCCGTCTACAACCCGACGGCCAGTGTGTGCGAGTGCGCGTACCTCATAAACGTAGTGAACCAACTACTACGGGTCTGCCGCCGCTCATCAGCTACCAGTGTGTCGTCGCTACGCGAATCGTTAGCACGTGTCCGCCGCATAAGGTCCACCGCCGTCCGGCGTCTCCACGCGTACTATCGTCATAATAAAAATATTATCAAATTTTTTCACGTCATTTCTGGCTCGCGTCTTTCCGTGTGCCGGTTTTCGCGATTTTCAACCTAAATTAAATTACACATTTTTTCTTGGTCGCCGTCGTACTCGCCAACTGCCTAGGAAATAGTGCGCGATGTCGTTTCCCGCTGCCCGACGGTCGTTTATCGTGGGCGGCACGTGAGAGACGGCCGGTCGTCAACCGGCTCTTGATAACGACACGCCGCGGGCGCTGGACGCCGTGCGATAAGAACACCTGAAGCTCGCGCGCCAAATTTTTTGGCCGCCGTCGCGATGGCCGTCAGATGGACCGCCGTCGCTTTGTGTCTGCTGGCTGCGTTCGTGGCTGTTGGCTTGGCCGCCCGAAAGAAGTCGCCGCTGCTCGAGGAGAACGCCGTGCCGAAAAAACCCAACAGGGTGACAGGTACGTGCCGTGTTGGGTGGCGACGAAACGAACGCCCTTTGTCTTATGCTAAACCCCGTTTCGCCTCGAAAAATTTTCTAGTCCCGTCCGTTACACTTCATTTTTTTTTTTTTTTTTTTTGGCATCAGTACAACCGTATCAAAGTATTAACGCAATATTTGTATTATTTTTAGCGTCCCTGTGCGTTGTTTTACACAACAACGTTCATATTATTATAGTTGTACTACTGTTATTATTTATTATTATAATTTTAATAATATATATATATATGTATATATAAAGGAAACTAAGTATAATGATAATATTAATAATGTTGCGGTCGCCCGATGATTATATTATATTATTCTAAAATGTCTACTAGGAAACATCTTCATGTTTATTATTGTTCGCTGTTTGTTTGTTCACTTAAAAAAATCCTTTGGGTGCGGCACGTGTACATGTCATATTACTATTATTATTATTTTACACAATATATCGTTTGTCACCGACGTCCGGTTTAGTAGAAAACGTGAGAAAATCAGTTTTCTCGAATCGACCGCCTTCTTATCGGTTTCTATTTTGTTGTCCAGTTCTTTCGTTATCTACCGATAATAATACACGACGGCTTGTCACGGAAAAATCTTTTCTCGCGCACAACGCTTATAATACTATGATAATAATAATAAAAACAATTATTTGACCAACCAGAAATATTTGTTTTTCACAGGAAGTAATAATAATAAATTAACCGGCATACACGTACTCGGTTATGCCAGGCCTCAGATTTTGACTGATAACGATAAAGCGCCACATTATACTAAAGTACAGTGGCGTATTTAGGTACAGCAGTGTTCAGGGGGGATTATCCTCCAGAATAATAATATTATTATATTTTGTTAATTATTTATTTATAATAGCAACATTGCAATCACATCATGTTAAGATAACGTTAAACCCCCTACTTTTTAGGAGTCCAGCTTAATGGAATTGGTAAAGTAATTAGGACTCTTATTAGGTAGATCATTTTTCAAGTCCCACTATCACAGCATCCTTGAAGGAAGTATTAAATATAATTTTAATTTAAACATAAATTAATCTACACAAAACACGTTTTACTAGGTCCGGGGGGTTTTCATAGTAATTAAACCAATCATGCCATTTTAGAGGGAATGTCATATTCGTTTTCCTTGTTGTTTAGTGTTTAACTTATTATTTAATGATGAAAAAAGGCAAACTTGTTTTGCATATTACTGCCCAGAAGAAAATTGTCTGCACGCCATTGTACTGAACACATTAATACGATACGGGTTAAACTTGCCTGCAATTTGCAAAAAGCTAGCGTTGGGCATTTTCCAACCCCGGAATTAGTATTTTATCATTTCTTTGTTTTAACTTCTCTTGTCAAAAACGTAAATCATTATTTTGACGTATTCCATTTTACCCAAACAAATAATGAACAAATTCATTATTATTAAACTTCTATTTTTAAAATAAATAACATAAAAAATACATTTCAATATTGATGAAGTACAAGCGACTTTAAGTTATTTATATTATACCGATCTACAGATCTTCTTCGATGTACGAATCATCATAGTACGTAGTTTAATTACCAACCACCTTGGTTTTAAATAATGTATTTGCGCCGGCGAATCGCAACGAAATTATTGCAATAATGTAATACATAATATACTTAACAAGGTGTATAATTTGCGCACGATCTGAATGTTATTATGCAAACATGAACCGTCGCACATGCGACATTATTGATTATGGACGTTTTGTTTTTGTTAGAAAAACATTGTAATCAGCGGCGCTAATCAACCTACCGCGTGGTCGAGTGATGTATTTAACAAACACGTCTTGAAAATCGTGTAAACATGATCGTGAGTATAGCCGTTGAAGATCGGTCACTGTACTAACTACTAATATTATATCGTGTAAGCATTGTATATCAAATAAAGAAAAAAAATACTACAACTAGTTTGCTCGTGATAACTTTTGTATGTGTTATTACTGTGTCCCGTGTCTTACCGACACAACAAATTACATTAAATACAGTTGTTCATGCGACGAGCGACGAGCATGAGAAAGATCACAAATAACAGTGGGAAAAAGGCTAAAAAATGTGTTTTGTCGCTAAAAATTATTTTTTTTTGCTGTTTCGCGTCTTTGTCACATATTATATGTACATTTTATTTATCAGATAAACAGTAAAACTGTTGCGTAGGCGTTTTGTAACAAATATGTAAAATATTTTCATTTTTTTCCCATTCCCTTACATGGCGATCGAGTTCCGTTTAGTGCTCGGGCTTTTATATCAAAGCGATTTAATAAACACTGTTGGTTTTTACCTATACCAAACGACTCAAATTACGATTTATACAGTTGCACTTTTGATCTAAATAGTATATTTTTAATTTTAAACAAAACTGTATAAAATAGTTTAATATTATATATTATACTAACTGTATTATTATAATTGATTAGTTATTGCTATTAGCAATAATTGATGTATTACTCATATTATATTATTCATATGCTGTACATTGTCCAATAATGTATGTTACTAACGGCAAATAATACAACATATAGGCGGATAGTATCTTTTTTTAATACAAAGTAATTTGTCAAAGTTGTTTAATGTGAGATGGGTTCTTTTAAATCCAAGATACAGATATTATAAAAAAAATGTTTACTCTTGGCGCCAACGTGTTTACATTTTACTATACTATTATGTTCAGGTTTTTTAAGTATAGGGTACGACATTTTACATGTAATACTGAAATAATGAATATTGATTAGTAGTATTTAATATTCATTTTTAATTCTGACGACAGCAGAATTAGCTGTTTTTGTACAAAATATATGTCTTGGACTGTTGGGAGATGCCCGTCATAAGAAACTGAGCATTCTGAACGCAAATAAAGTGGAAGACTTAGAATTTATCTAAATATATACAAGGGGATTTGCGTTCACGTTAGGCACTGAGTTATTGAAGAGTTACTGAGTTACTGAGACATTAAAGTTTGCATTCATCAACGACTAATATTTTTCTTAGAACAATATTTTACCGACATTTCCCTCCGTCAAGCAAGTATAGATAAACTATAACTATTTATCTTTACCTCTATTTCCGGGTAAGTATAAACTTCTATTGCTCAGTTCCCTAGAATATGTATATCTAGAATATGTTTTGCAATACAAAATTCTGAGACGAAAACAAAATCTGAAATGATTATTATAACCAAATATTATAAATAACACATTTTGTTTAATCGTTTAACTTAACAAATCATCACCTAATGCCTTGGGCAGCGATGCGTTTGAATAAAAAGTAGGTACAGTCTATTGAATACAGTAAGTATTAAATATTTGTTGCGCCCGTTCAGCTGTTACTTTAACGACATTTTCACCATAAATTATAATTTACATTCGTTACGTGCGCGTTGAGTTAAGTCGTAGCCACAACCTTTTTTCCGTCGCTAATTAGCAAAGTTTCGGTTTTTGGCCCCAAAACAAAATACTGAACGACGATCACGGTTGACTTTGACCCTGCGTTTTGCACATTAGAAGAGAAGGGAGGGGGGTGTTTGGTCAAGTTGTTAGTAAATTTTGGCGCCAGTCGCCCCTGTAAAAAAAAAAAAAAAAAAAATTGTAACAAAACCGTTTGCACTGGTTTGTGCATACGTAGGTACTTGATAACAACAACAATAATAATAATATATTTTAACATGTACACGATACACCGACGGTCTGGTCTCGTAAAACTGCCAAGTAATCGCCAGAGCTGGGCAAGCGGTGCGCCGGGGCCGTCTAGACGCAGCCAACGACTTGGCCACGCACTTTGCACCTATATAGCGCATAAATTATCGCCTTTTTGCCGCTGGATGGACCCATAATAGGGTGTCGGTGACGTGGCGTATATACGGATTTGGGCTTCGGTCGTGTTGTGTTATATGCCAAACGTGTGTTCCGCATCAGCTCGCCAAAAGGATTTCCCCGTCATCTCCATAAAACGACTACGGCGATTCTCTAATATATCACCGCGAACAATCCTAATTATTTCCTTCTAAATGACTATGCGGTGAAAACGACGGCTTTATAATAAAAATGGAAGCGTTCGCTCGGGAGTTAGGGGGGTTTGGTTCTTTCAAATTAAATGACGAATATAGCCTATTATTATACTCAAATGTCAATAATAATAATTGTAACGATAACGATGCGTATGCAATGTGGTACAATGTACTCGGGATCGACTTCGACAATGTTGTAACTAAGTGCCACTTTTTTCGCTTAGCCCTTTCTTCAATATGCAGATAGTACAAAAGGAAATTTTTGAAAGAAATCATTTTAAATAATAAGACGTAGCAAATTTTTTAGTGTAACAAATTTTAATCGTTTTATAACACAAACCGGTAGATATTATGTTTATATCAATAGACAACAAGTACCGGTAGCTTATTCAGCAAAGTATTCGGGGTGGGTTACATGGCGATTGTGTTTTCTGTACTAAAGTTTTGTATGTGCCACAAATTGAAATACAAATAAACACAGTGGACGGTCACTGATCATTAATTATGTGTAAACTGCGCGAGATAAAGCGAATCTAGGACGATCTAGTTGGAAATAAAATACACGAGATTGTTTTAATTTTTTTTTTTTTTGGCGCGTGCTAACAGTTTTTTGATTAATTACTCGTGTAAACGTTGACCGCTAAATATTAAACTTTTACATTCGACAACGCGGATTATATCTAGAACGCGTGGACACGTCGAGGATGTAAATTTTGTCGCCCCACGATGTAATTGTGTCTTCTCTTTCACGATTGCTCTAAACTTTTGACAGCAGCGCCGCGTCGCGACCCCATTAGGATGAAGATGATTTCCAAAAAATTATAAAACATATTAGTTATTATTAAACGTTGCTGGTGCTTAATGCTTATTTATATTTTGTCTATATAATATATTGTTTTGTATACGAGTGAATACGACACAAGTCGGAGTCAGACTACTCTCTCGTGTTGCCTGTAGTAAACTTGGCTTGTTAAATGGATATTTTAGTAAAATCTTTGCCTCTTCCAAGGAGGTTAACTGAACTAATCCGCTATTCTCGGGCGGATAGTTAGTCCGTTGTCGGTAGAGGGGAATTATCCCTTAAGAGTACTTGTCTTTAGTACTAAATTTTAAATAATTCTTAACAAATAATTACAAATACTTCAGTATAAAAAACCTTACATAGCGATGAAAAGTCCGCGATTAAAACATTCTTAGCTATGGTAGAACAACAAAATATACATGTATTTATCACTTTTGTCATTATAATATTATTTGATGACAGTGAGTGATGGACAAACCGTGGGACGCAACCAGTATGCAACTTATTGCAACCGTTTAAGCAAGGGGGGAATATGAATAGCGTGCGCCTTTTATCTTAGAACGCTTCAATAATTGCCGTCGAATTCGTTGTATAGCTTTATTAATGGTCGCCACAATATAAATCTCCACGATGGTTAAACAACAATTATTGCATTACGCCCCGGCTGAAACGTATCTGCCCTGTATGGTCTAATATACATATATGTGTACACTGTACTGAAATTGAAAACCCTCTTGTCGAATAATACTTATACCGGCGATCCACCTGTTTAGAACGCCGTACTTCTTATGCTATGTACCGCATGTCCCGCGGTGACTATTGTTGTGGGAAATATTGTTTGTTGAAGTTATATGCTTTTTGGCGTTTTTAAGCCATAATATTTGTGTTCTGCTTAAATTCGAAAAAACTGAATAAAAAAAACCTGTGCTGTGATGTGTACCAGTGTTACACTCTTTCTGGGACATACTGTACATACATTCGCACATGAATGTCGTGTATTATCTATCTGCGGTGACGGCCGGTCGTTTAGTGACTGGCACACTGTGTGTGGTGTGTAAATCAATGGTCGTATCGAGTATGTAAAAGAGCAATACCAAAAACGCGGAGGAGTCGCCGGAAACGCAGATTTTTGACGTAGTTCAAGTCTAATAGTAAAACAATGATCTCAATACTATTTTCATTCTAAAATATATTTATAACATATATGTTGTTGCGTTATTAAGAAAACAAAAGATCTTTTAAAGCAAATTTAGTTATTTTAAAACCGTGATGGTAACGCCAAAAAAAAAGACCTTGACTTCTTTTGGAGTGTATTTTTAATCAATATCGTTGTTTTTCTATACATGAATTTAGTTTTTGTTTATAATAGTTTTTACATTCACTTAATGAAGATAGATGATGCCAATATTAGCACATTTAATATTTATTTACATTTTATATGTACATTTAAAAGGGTGTATTGCATTGATAAAAATATGGTAATTTAATAGAATTTAAACTACGATAAAGAAATTTTACTGTGTTTACAAGCGTAGTTTATACCAATCGTAAAAAAGCATTTAAACCAGCTAAACAAGTTTTTACATAATTATAACTCCGGGAATTAACTAATTTGGACTATGTTAAATCGGGTTCAACTACATGTTTAAACGTGTATTAATTGGACTGTTCTTACTCTGTTACTTACTCCGTGTTATGAAGTAAAAATTAGCACTATTTAGTATTTAATCACACGTCTTAAATAAATTATAAGTGTTTCAATATCAGAATATCTCGTTGTAGTTTGTTTATGCCCATTTACCAAAAATATCTATAGAAAATACTGAAGTCTTGACACGTATAACAGTAGTGTAGTAGCTAAACGGTTATTCTAATAAACCGACGATATATATATAATTGACTTAAATTAAAATGTCCGATACTAAACAGGGATGAAGGGGTGACGAGTACAGAGGCCTCCTTTATGTCGACTCGGGGACATAACATACTCTTAGGTCTTTATCACTAATCTGACCGTTATTAATATGTTCTATCAGCCGCTGACGATCACGTGTACAACACTTTTATGCGTGTTCACACGACCGCCGACGATGCCGCAAAAACGATTAAAATAGTTTTATGTGCGTTTAAACTTGTTGCCTGCCGCCCCATCCCTTTAACGCCCGACCGTATAGCTTCCTTGGTGCGTACAATACTCGTAGACACAACAGTAGTGTCTGGTATAATAATAATAATTATAAATACATAATGATAACCATAAGAAACTAAACTGGTCACAGCGGAATAAGACAGCGCCGGCTCGGCGGTTGCGTGCATAAAAACGGCGGGTAAACGTGGTGGTCGCCCGGCGCCAATATGTTTCACGTCATTGCGTTGCCGGCTGCCGTGCCCGTGATCTGATTTCTGAACAATAAGAAACAACGCCAACGATAATGATCATTTCATACGAGACGACCTGAAGATCGACCAAATGCAAAATAATAATAATAATAATAAACTCCGCACGAGTAAAAAGTGCTTTTTTTTTTTATATACAACATAGTTTTTTATACCTGGAAATCCCAATTATAAAAACCACACGTTCGTCCGCCTCGTTGCAATATTTTATGATAATAATAATAATGAAAAAAAAAATAAGCTTAATCCAAACTAGAATTTACATCATGCTAATGAGCTGCAGAATCGTTAGTATTTTTTTTTTTTTTGTTAGGCGTTCCAAGTCGGTTGTTGAACACAATTTACACGCATTCGGGTATACAATCGGATAGTTATAATTTATTATAGCCTATTCGTCAAGAAAGCGTATATTTGGTATTGTCAATCAGTAAATAAACCCTGATAATTTTTTTGAAAACAAGCGGCATTCTCGAATATTTGAACATAATTGATATTCTTTCTATAACTAGGTATTTGTTCCGTGATTGGTTGATTGCCAAAACTGTATTAATAATTAGATATATACAGATAATATTAATAATTAATGTTTTTGTACTCTAAACGAGTACATTATATTTGTTGTTAAACCTCTTCTATCTTTATTTTGCTTCTAGTTTTCAGTTTCAAAACGATAATCGCTACTATCTTATTTATGTATTTGGATATTACCAAACTAACTCACTTAAAATATTTGGCAATAATTCATTTTTTAAGTAATGTCTACCTCGGCAAACGAAATGTATTCATGACAAATGACAATATTTACAACGAATCTCTCTTCATTCGAGAATTCACCATTTTTTAGCTCTATTACTTTATATTGTTTAGGTGATGTATTTTTATATTAGATTCAACATCATAATATTATACTTGTGGATCTTATCTTTTATTAAAATTAATCTTTGAAAAAACATTGTTATAAAAATATAAAATATTCACTAGTCAGCTACAATAGCTAATCAATAATCATTTAGTGCTCCAAGAATATGTGTTCCATGTTTTATTCATTAATAAAACTGTAAATTACATTCGAAATTAATTTTTTAAACATCATACAAAAAATATATTACAGGCAATATACGGTTATTATATGTATATATAATATACTATGTATAACACATACTACTAAGACATTAGTTATGATCGTTATGGCAGGTAAAAATAGTAATTACCTAGGGGCTAGAACATTCCAAGGAAAGTAGAAACACATTTATATCATAAATAAAAAAATATTAAAATTTTAATGCTTTATGATGTAACCACTTAGTATAACCTAACCTAACCACTTAGTGGTAGTTGTAGCTTATTTTATACATTTGGCACGTTAGTTAGCTAATGGAAAAATTTTGGTTGGCAAAATAGACTGTCAAATTCAAGGTTTTTTTACGTTGTCATCAGGACAGTATGTACTAAATATATTACATATAGTATTCTGTGTTCATAATAACGTCAATCGAAGTGTAATAAACAATAGAAATGTACAATTTATACTGGAGCGAATAAAATATATTATTTTCGCGGTAAATAATATTATAGTACATAATGTATATATGTGTATTATACATAATGAACAATTATAATAATGTTATAAAAGTGCATCATTTTCATTAAACAGTATATTATTTTAATAATTTATTGCTACGGTAAAAATGTAATCAAAATCATTTATCATCTTTTACAAATTAATTAAAACATTTTATGTTGCCTAATGTTTTTTTTGTTTGTTTTAATGTTTGAAAAATATATTTATAGGAGAAAACAAATTGTTTTTCATTAAGCTTAAAATAGTATAGGAACAACTGTATCTAAACCTTGATATAATATTAAGAACCACGGCTTGCTCTGAGTAAAGTAGTTGTAATAGAGATCCTTATAGTGTTGATAGAATTCAGTAAGTATTAGCCCTACTTTATAAATAAATATAACACTCCACATCAACGCTTTAAGTCCAAAATCACGCTTTCTTTTTTGGTATCCCAATCGCAGTCAGCTCAGTCGGTTTTGGAAATACGCTTTAACCGATGATTTTTTTGTGTTTTATGTATTGCAGAATGCCAGTTCGGCAAGCAGCTCAAAGAGATTGGGTCGACGTGGTATGCCGATTTAGGGCCACCGTTCGGTGTCATGTACTGCATCAAGTGTGAATGCGTTCAGGCAAGTCAATATCAGTATTATAAAATATATTGTAATATTTCCCCCGTTCCGGCACTAAAAATCGCTTCAGTGTATTTTTCGAACAATACAAATGATGGGCACATGTAAAACTATAACAAAACAGTATGTTTTTGGAAAATCTTTTCTGTGACGTTTCAATAGCTGACCCATCGGTAATTACAAAGTTATTACTATAATAATATATTGTATTTCATGCATGTTTCTCGGTGTATAGGCAGATATCATAGTGCTGCCTATGCCGTGTGCAGGCCGACCGTGTCACGATATATCATTATACCTATAACCGATTTAAAGTGTATTATTGTTGTTATTATTGTCATCATGGCTGCGCGCGTCCGCATGGGTGTACTTAAAAGTGCATTGTTTTCGCGTGTGAAGGAATGAGGTTGGCCCGCGTGCAATTTTGACGGAAGAGACCGGCCGTGGACGTGCTCGGTCGCCGTGGAGGAGGGTGAGAAGCAGCTACTCGGGATGTCCGCTAGAATTCTTATGCGTACTTAAGTATGTGTGTGTGTGTGTATGTTCAATTGTGTCGCGTGTACTCAGTTGATCGAAACAATCGAGATCAGATTCACACATTCCATCGCACGGCCGGGGAACAATCGGTTGCCGCCGTTGTAAAGCCAGCCGCCACGCCGCGCTACTCATGAATAAAACTATAAGGCAGCTAAAAAAAAAAAAAAAAGGGCACGAGAAACAACGCCGTGGCCATAAATCCATACTATTATCGTACACATCCATCGTATAATAATATAAGCGACGAAATGATTGAAAAAAAAACCCCAACAGATCCGCAGAAAGAAAAAAAAATATCCGAACGCGTATATTATACTCGATACAGTAACACGGTATGGGTAATTTTTCATTTGTCAGACTATTTTTTTAAATATATATATATATATTTTTATTTTAATTAATTTCGTACAACGCGATTCGGAATAAAACAATAAGCGTACACCTTGAAATTAATAGGTAACACCCGATGGAATAATAATTAGTGTTTTGAGCACGAGATATGCTGTTTAACGTAACGCAATATTATGTTTTAATATATTCTTACCGGGATTTATTCGTTTCGGTCATACTTAAATGTTAGCACTACTCAGGTTTTTCCCTTGCGCCACTGACTTAAGTAGAATTTGATTTATGTAGAACTTAAATAGTACCACAAGATGGATGCATAACATCTCGCCAACTGAACCATCGTTGATAAAAAAGAAAAACTAAATTGTTTTGCCCTACACAAGTTACGACATAGTTTATTTCGAATGGCTGAGTAGTAGTTTAAGATACACAATATACATTTTAATTTATAGAAAAAATATGCAGATTTTACGTTTAGGAAACTTTAATATTAAATAATTTACCATGTTGAACGAACATCACTTTATAATTGCAAATCGTTGGCTAAAAAAAACATTCGACTTCCTCGTTTCTAGTGTTTATTGAATTTATTACACTGTACACGCTGCATAAGTTTTGACTTACCGGAAAACCGAATGAAACAAAACTGTTTTGAATTTTGATTACTCGCCCGAAACGATTCATGAACTAATCTGTATAACGTATATATTTTTAAACACTTGTCGTTTAGGTGCAAAAAAAGAGGCGAATAATTGGTCGGACGCAGTGTCGTAATATAAAAAACGATTGTCCGAAACCTAACTGCGAAGAACCTACTATATTGCCAGGAAAATGTTGTAAAACTTGTCCCGGAGAAGATGCCAGTAAGTCGCAATTCGTATTTGTATTACACTATTTGATTTTGCACATACTATTAACCTACTGTAATCTTCAACATGTTATTACTATAACACTACTATTAAGCTATTCGGGCTATTCGGAATGCTATATTATTATTTTATAAATTGTACGAAAATAGTTTCAATTACAAATCTTTATTAATATGCATGCTCGGTGTGCGTTTGAATTTGAATTATTTATGAAATTAACCAATTAACTGTTTTTTTTTTTAAATAAATTAATCTATATTTTTTATACAGACCTGAGCGAAATCTAAAAAACGAATTATTCCGAGGTTTATTCATGTTTTGAATTAATATATTTTATTCGCTTCAATAACTTGTAAGTTCATTAGTACCTAAAAAAACTTTATTGTAGGTGAACAACTACATTAAAGAAACCAAATATTATAATTTACAATGTCAATACTATATTTGCCATTGTCCATTACTATTTTTTTAACTTTAGCGGGTTTGAGTAAATTATTATCAATTATTTTCTGAAGATATTGTTTTAATTATTTACTCGGCCGCTAAATAGTAAAATACAAGATTACAAAGGCAGTGACACATCTACAGAACACGAGATTGTAAAATTACATATTATCAAAGTCTATTAAGTAGTCGTGGTCGATGGGTAGGTGGAACTTAAAATAGTGTATGTGCGTCACTTAGACTTTGTACAACAATAAATTATTATCTGAAAAATCGAATGTGTCAACTGCCTTCCTTAATATTTTAGGTATCGATTTTGTACAACGTGGATTTATGATTGATCTGTTTTACATTTGCAAATCGACTAGGGTCGTATCCGGTGTTTGATAAATAATCAATATTATTATTGTTATTATTATGTCTCTGGGTCAATGCAGTGAATATTGCAACAAAGCAAAAGAGAGTCAAAAGTTTTTATTATTGTTATCTACGACTTTGTTTTTTTTTTAACGCTTAATAATAACGTAGTTTTCTCTCTCAGGTTGCTTTGATTAACCCATTTCTAATGAATGACCTTCGCGCACTAACAAACAAGAACAGAATGGCACAATACTATTGAAGCATGTGACAATAATTATTATTATTATGACTATAATAATGTGGAAAATGCAATAATTCGCAAAACGTGAACTGCATTTATCATTATTTGTCGCTGACGGACAATAGGTCATGGATTGTAACGCCTTATTAGTAAAAACTAGATTTATAGGTACAACAGATGCATTACAGCTTTAATCTACAAAAGGCGGAATTAAATACTTGAAATACTTGATAAGCATGGTTTGTCATTATGCACGTGTATGCACTTCGTTTGGGTTTATAATTTGGCACGCTGGTGTTAATTATAATTCATAACTTATGCAATTAATAAAATATGAAAACTTATTCGATTGCTACAGTAAACAAATAATGGAATAAATTAACAATGCAATATTAACGTTAAATTAAGGTACAAATGCCATAATTAATTAATATTATTGATTTGTTGTATTAAATATTAATAAATAAACTAACTAAAAACACAAAATAACGTTAACAGCTTTTATCATTATTTTTTTTTTTTATAACAATGTTATAGATATAAGTGATAAAGTTATGTTGAAGTACATTTATGAATATAGTTTCTGATGTACATATTATTAGAAATTTAATTGCTTTTGGCCAATACGAAAATGTTTGTTTTTTTGCCCATTAAAAAAATAATTTTGTTATATTTTAGCTCGTTGACTATTTTATTAGCATCGCAATATTTTCTCAAAGTCTAAGTCTAGCTTATTAATTCAGACAGTTGTAAATCTTGTGAAGTACATCATTCTATAGGTCTTTCTATTTCTTAAAAAGCGAATATACCGATTTTAAATAAAAATATTTGGGTTTTCTAAAACGTCCAACTATGCGTTTATCAAATTAGTCACGACTATAAATTTATAACCGTTTTTTTGTTGTCTCGGGAGCTATATGAATATTTAATTAGTGTGTCTACTAGCTAGTTTTTTCTTTTAACTTAAATTTTGAAGTTAATAAAAATAAATAAACTCAAATATTGTTAGTTTGTCTTTTTCACTATTTGAGTTTGACAATTTTCTCGCGACATTTTTTTTCCATTTTGTCCACACTACACACGCCACGTACTATTACTCTCAGTGTGTGTATACACGCTTTTACTAGGTACCAAAACTTGTATAATCTATATACTCACTATATAACGTTCCAAATGACGACAAAAATAGTTTGGCGTGCGCAAATACTTTGGCAGTATAGACGGGTAGACGAGCCGACACCATCAAGGTTCAGTGCAGATTATATATACATGTTCATCCTATATAAAGTATATAAACACGTGTATAGTGCTTTTATAATAGTAACAATCAAATTTTAGGTACGCCGGGAACTTGAAACCTAACTTTTATACATACCAGCCCATTTCATTCATAATACTTTTTTATTTTTACTCATACATATAAGTTTAACAAAAAATATATTAATAATGTTAATTTGCAATGGGTTACAGATGAGTTTGTTCAAGATCCGCCAGATGAAGAGGAAAAGAGTCTAAAACGTAAGTAAACGCTTCCGCAAACTATAATTGAAATTTAAGAATAGTTAAACAATACTAAAACTGTAAGTCACACTTCACATAAATTAAAAGTAAAGTTGGTGCAAACGGACATTATTCATTTGGTTTTATCAAATGATTTATTTTTATGTTTCATTAATGTGAATCCATAGCAATCTATCAAATTCTCAATACTAGGTGTTGAAATATTTTTTTTATCAAAATTTGTTCTTTAACTTTTTTAAATGTATATTTACGCTAAAATTATTCAATTCTTCAGAAAAGTGCAATTTCCCTAGACTTATATCTCCTATACATTGCCTATACTTTACTCCTTAAAAAATATGCGTTGTGGTGTCCTCTTAAGGCGTTGTAAATAGGCATTGCATACGCTAGTATGTAAAAACTATAGTATACAATGTAGTATAATTAATGTATGGGCTCTTGCATTCGTTATTATGTAATGTTTACACGTACTTTAGGGATTTATGACTTGGCAAACAAGAATTATTAAAGTACGTGTAACTTGTAAAAGTATAAATCAATTAGACAATAATAAAATAATATTTAACCCTAATTTAAACATTTTTAACGTTTTAAAATAGTATTAGTATTTTTAAACAGGTTGTCTATCTCTGGTTTTATGATGATAATAATAATAATACTGTTATAACTGTATAACACTAAAAAATATATATATTTATATAAGAGCGAAGGTACTTATTTGTGTTTTAGTTTTTACGTATACATTTTTATAAATATTTATAGTATCGATCAACCTAATAGGAGTTATTGCGGAGCACTTTACTCATTATCTCGTTAAGCTTTATAAAAATGAGATAAAACATCATTAACGGCATTCTAGAATATTGCATAATGCATATTGTGATACTTGTAACAGGTAGCTTGTAATTATCTATACCATAGATTAAGTTTAACTATTACTACTTCTTATTATACAATTTGTAATCTATATATTTATAACTATAAAATTGGGTTACTAATAAGTACAAAGGAACTAGAAGTTGGTGACTCTACTCTCCAAGCCATAGTTTAATTTATAAATACAAAATATTATGATATAATAAAACCACAAAATAGATCTTCCCTATATGTAAGACTATATTATAAGACGAAGTACGATAGTTTGTTATTTGTTATACAAATATATAAAATACGGTTAAATCCACAGGGGTTACATATCTACAAGCGCAATAAATAATTTTTTTTATGATTTCTTTGTGTCATAGATTTCGCGGCCGTACTAACTGGTCAATCGAAGACTGGGGATTTTAAGAAAACAGATATCCCGACCGGCTCCACGCCGGAAACAGGGCTGGATCATGTGTCTACCGGGCGATTTACATTTTACAGAAAACACTTGTACTTTTCGTTTTACACCAACAAACCCGATAGGCCCAGGATGGTGCAATTTAACGACGCCAATGGAAACATAATTGAAGAAATTGTAAGTATAGGTATATTCTAAAACTTAGAATTTAGACTTATTTGGAATTTATCAATTAATGCTGTTAAAATTAAACTTAAAAACGTAACATGTATCAAGTGAATGCGATTTGTTGCAGACACTTTTGCCAGGTACGGTTTACCAAAATTCTACCGATAAAATTTGCGGGGTTTGGAGACGGGTGTCTAAAGACTACAAGCGGTTATTACGGGAAGAGAAAATATCGGTGTCCTTGGTCTGGGATACTGCCATTATTGGTGGACATTTGTTCAGGTATAAACACAACATGTTTAACTTTTTTATAGGTAAATTTTTAAATCGTATTAACGTAAGTCGTATTTGTGGTATTATACTGGCGGTGACTATGATTTGTTTTAAAAAATGACAATTTAAGAGGCACTTACAATTAAAATATATGTACATCCGGTCAGATCATTTCCTCGCCAAAAGGGAGTGTCTTGGTCCTTCTTCGTCGTGCCACTATGTTCTAATAAACATTTTTTTAACTTGCTTCTTGGAAGCCTTATTGTTGGATGATCTAACTGTTCGTCCATCGTTTCCATTGTGTAAATCATTTAACGTATACGGTTTACTTATTGCTGATTTGTACAGGTACAAGGCCTTGGACACTGAATCATTCAGCTCGCTGATGACCGGTCAAATTAGAGATACCGGAGGGACGGCCATAGTGTCAATTTCGACCATATCTCCGTCAATACACATGCAGATTGTGTTCAACGGAGGAGCGATCGCGGCGATCGGTCAAGACAGTGGATCGTTTTCGGTTAAATTGAAGTACACGACCGAAGACGAAAGGACGGTCATCGAAGAAGTGAGACCGGACATTTTGATCCTGGCGGTGGAAATTCGATGTTTATGATTATTTTCTAATTTGCTCATAGACGATCAGAGTGGAGAAACTGACCAACAAGTCGGTAACGGTTGAGGTACGATCGCCGGTCACGTTCTCCGACTTGAACGCCCTGTCCCGTAGAGACCTGATCGTGGTCCTCGAATCCAAACAGCAGCCGGGTTTCAAGTTGCAGGGCTTGATCGTGCCCAGGGTTTTTTGCGATCTTTACCAGTCAGTGGTTGTTACGAACGGTTATCAGACGGACCCGAAGAAAACGAGGTTAGTTATCGTTTGTGGTAGGTGTTCAATGAGAATAATGTCACATGAAAATGTCGTTGATTTTTGATTACGAAATATCGTAAAGTATAAAATATCCAATAAGATCTCCTCATTTGCCGACCTTTTTCTACCGTAAATGTTCATAAAAAAAATATATAGTAGGGTAGGTTAGGGAGGTTTTATGGTCGGTGATTATGGGCCCAAAAGATCTGACGCGCAAAACGAACGGTCAACGGCCTGTATTCGTTATAGTGCAATGTTCAAGAAACGCACAAATGCAATAATTACTATAGATATCGGATTAGTTCATTTTTTTTTTTTTTTATAGCTCGAGCCAAACTTGTTGGCTTCTAACGTCAACGAGGAAAATACACGAGCGTTACCCCGCGACGAAAGGGAAACCGTAGGGTTTTAATATTGTTGTAGCGGTTTTGGTCTGTCGCCATCCATAAATCTAATGTGCTCGACGAAAGCTATAAAGTCTCAGCTGTGTGATAATAATATGCGCGTGTGTGAACGACCTCAGTTCGTCACAACTCACACAATCAAACGACCGCACAAGTGTGTTTTTTAAAAGATTTTTACGCTCCGCGATTAAAACGCACAATCTTTGTACTTTGGGAGACAGTGGTTGGTGCCGTAAGCGGGGGGGGCAATGGACAATGAAATTATTACCTTTTAGATATTATGGATTTTGGCAATTATGCGTAAGAAGATATTATAGCATAAAATTCTAAAGATTTCGATGTTTTTCGCGCGTTATAAAAATATATTATTATGTGTATTAATAGTTGTATATTATGCATTTACAAACGGCGGCGCGTCCATATAAATGGATGCACATTAATTCGAACGGTCTCGGAGCGGCGTACGCTGCTACGTCTTATTAAACTAAAGTCTAAAATACATATATACATATATATATATTATAATTGTTATTATAATACTGTGTATGTGTTTCGGGTTGAGTTGTATATGTACAATATGCATGTTTAGCCGAATGTTTGGGCGATTACAGTCGGAAATAAATTATTCGCTTGGCGGTTGGAGCATTTTAACTATCTGGCGTGGTTCCGATCGTTTTGAATAATGCTCTTGTTTTTAATGCGTTTTGGCAGGACCAGCGGTGTGGCTTGGACGTTTATTAATAAGGACGGAGCGTTGGAGTATCACGTTAAATTTGACAATAACGCAGTCACCGAGTTGGCTATTGGTGAGATATTTTAAAAATAGATAAACATAATAATATAATAATAACGATATCGTGCATTTGATTAAACGCAGTTACCGCATTTTTTTTTTTTTTTACATTATTATTATTACAATAATATTATAATGTATTTACTCAAAAACGTTTTGCTTTAATCGGATTGCAGCGTCCGCCGAACCCCGCGTGTCCGCCATAGATTTGTCCGAGTCTGTAGTGCAGGACTGGAGTAACGGCACCGTCTCGACGATGGGACCGGTTCACTTGGAACAACTGTACGCCGAAGAACTCAGCCTGGTCAGCGGGTCGTCAGGTTTCAGAGGCAGGCTGTCGTGGAGGCCCGTGGCCGACGCTAGAGACTCAGCCGGCCCTATGTTACTCTCCAACCACGATGATCGGTCCACCTCAGTAGGGCTCCTCTGGGCGATCGTGGATTCGGATTGTACGCTCCAATACGAAGTGAGCGCCTAATGTATTTTTAAATGCTTTTTACTTACCAGCTGAATACAGTGGCGAATCCAGAACTGTGTTTTTTAGCGTGTGTAATACCGAAGATTGGAACCGCCACTGCGTTTCTAAATAGCCTTATGCATGATACTATACAAATAATAGGTTGACATACCATTAGCATTTGCTATTTAAACGATTCTCCTCACTCAGCTTTTTTAAAAACTCCCGATTTTATTAATTTTCTCTTAAACGTACTCGATTTGTAATATTTTATTGTTTTTCTATAATCGGCCTTCTTTTCTGTAAAAAAAAAAAAACATTTAGTATGAATTATAAACATATAATAAACGTATTCTATTGTAATGTAAAGCAATGCCAAAAAATGTTGGTAATATGTACTTGAAATTTGAAGGTCATTATTTAATTATATACTGATTCTGAATCGGTAGCCTATTTTTTTAGTGGCCATACCCATAGGAATAATTTGAGTTTGTAAATTGTAGTAATAGGGTGTACGTTGGTGGGCGAGAACTATGACGTTTTAAATAAAAATTATTACAAGTTATAACGTTAGGTTCTCTAAAACACTTAAAGCTTATTGCTAAAAAAAACTACTGTTTTACAAAGGCCTTCACCCTTTACAAGTCGGACAATTTTTTTATATGAAAAAAAAACTCCAGAAATCTTAAAAGCGCTCTGCCAAATGCCAATTGGTTGTAATGTACATTTTTATGAGTTTGATAGAAGTGTGTCACTCACTGATCAAACCACCCGATTGTCGCGCAGGTCGTTTTATCCGGTTCCAATGTTAAAAATCGAAAATTTGAACTGTACATCGAGGACTCGCCGTTATTGGTGCACGGAGCGCCGGTATTCAGAAGACTACTCGAAGAGTTCGAAGGTCCCACGTTCGAAGGATACGTCATCGGCCTGAGCCAAGAAGAACTACTACGGTTGAACGTCAATTTGGTGACCGTTGACTTATGGGACCCAAAGCTCGGTCAGTCTGTACTGAAAACCGAATGGAAACACGTTAGTTTTGTGGCTTAGCCTTTTTTTTATATTATTTTCTTATCTGTATACCTAAATATTTGTTATTCGTGTCTTGGACAGGTGCACGTGCCTACTGTGTGCTTCGCTCGGGAAGCAAGCGAAAACGACTCCAACAACATTTTGATGAACAACGACGAATCGGAACAACAGCACCCGTCGCTGTTGAGCTGTTTCCATGGCCAAAAATACTACCAACACGGAGCCCAGTGGACGTCTACCGTGGATGAATGTTACATGTGCAACTGTCATTATGGTAGGGTCACTTGCGACTTGATTATTTGTCCAATAGTCCAGTGTCCTGTGCCCTCGGCGAAACCGGGAACGTGTTGTCCGACTTGCGAAGGTATTGAAATGTTAAACTTACATTGCAGTATGCCCGAAAAAAACAGTAAGACGTGTGACGTTTTGATACTTTTCAGACAACGTGTTGGAAAACCAAAGGAATTCGACAAACTCGTGCTGGTTGGCCGGACAGCAGTTCCAAGGTGGCAGTAGTTGGCATCCTTATTTGCCACCCAATGGGTTCGATACTTGTACGCTGTGTCACTGCAATGTAAATAGCCGATTGCATCAAATTACTACTCAACTGTTTAATTATTATTGTATTTGAATCGAACATAATTTTATTTGATAGAGTACATCACTAAAAATTAAATGTCAACGTATGGATTGTCCACCACTGGAATGCGATCAGAGAGTAGCTATTAGGCCGACAAAACGTTCATGCTGCAAAGCGTGCCCGTCTACCTTGCAAACGACGTCTAAACCAGCTGGTCCATTAGTTCAACTTACTCAAGGCGACCAGCAGTCCAGCGGTGAAAGTGGCTTTTCGGATGTTGACGTTTTGAGCAATGGCGGATGCAGTTATCCTGTCGGTGGACCTTACGAAAACGGACAGGAGTGGCATCCGAAAATTTATTCTCATGGTGAAGTCAAATGCATTAACTGCAAGTGTAAAGTATGTATACATCTTATGTGTATTATATCAACTAAGAAATACAAATAATAGGATCTGGAAAGTAGTCCAATTATTATACATGTATGACCCATGTTGCAAGCAATCAACGAAATTTAGTTACATACATTTATATTGATAATTAATGGGTAAATCGCAAAATTTTATTAACGACATTTTGCTTTTTGTTTCAGGACGGCAAAGTGAGATGTGACCGTAAAAAGTGTCCTAAATGGTCATCATGCTCAGACCCATGTTGCACTGCGGTGTGCCGCAGGCATAAAAGACAACTTAACAAACCATAAACACATTACATTGTTCCTTTAACAAAATAAATAAATAAAAGAATAATAATAATGATAAACAACAATAATAACTATGAATATATGTATATTATATATTTATATTTAACGCAAAAGTATGATTACAGTAACAAATTTTTATATTACTCACAACTGATGAAAATCAGCAAATGAGCAATCCCTAGACTATGATAATGAATAATTTTATTATATACCGGAATCCATAGACTGATATACATAATATATATATTTTTTTTTCACTTAATGGGTAGCTGATATTATGTAATTTTCAGTATTAATCTAAGAAGTAATTAATATTGTTAAAAAAGTATATATATATATTAACTTTACTGTAATATTGTACATATGTAATTTCGTATTTTTTAATTTAAATTATTAAATTTGTTGGCTGTCATAATGTGTAATTTTTGTTCACTTTTTGAATTCTAGTAAATCAACAAACATATTAATATTTTATTAAAACTTGTTTTTGTTTTATGTGTGTACATGTAAAGAGTGTAGCACGATGATTTGACAGATTTAAATGTGTATAATTTTGTCGGCTCATTGTAATACACTTTGTATATATAACATTTATATGTCATAATAATTATTTGATTTATGTATACCCTTATTTTACCATTGATGGGGATTTTTAACAGATTAAGTGGTACAAATATAATATATACCTAAAATTATGTAAAGCAAATCGGATCAGGACGATTTTTTTCATAATACAAACATTATGTTACCATGACAAAATAATGTAATTAAAATAATATTGAATATAATACAATGGCAAATGCCATTTTTATTTATTAAGTATTTATTTTGAACTATGCCTTGAACAATAGTATCGTACACCTTCGAAAGTCGTTGCTCTAGTGTGTTTGGCTAACAAATTGTTGACATTGGTCTTTTCGGTCGCTAATCTCCTGGAAAAAAACAAAACATTTTTTCTAATAAATACTCATTTATTTCTTATTTTTTTTTTTTTTATTACTCAACAAATGGACGAATTTCATTGAATGTCCATTTTTCTCGAATTTGAAACAAGTATTGAATTCTTTCAACTATGTCATCTGGTAAGTCTTGCTCATTAAAATAGCAAATGGTCTGTGGGTGACTGGACTTATCAATGAGTACAGTACCTTCAAGTTGTTTTAAGTCTGTTGTCATACCTAAAAAACAAATTAAAGTGTTAGTATAAAAATCAAAAAACTTAATTTGTATTAAAACACGAAATGTTGTCATTTCAATAATCAAGTGTAAAAAATAGTATAGTTACCTTCCGGCACACTCCCTTGCCAGGCTCTTTGGAAGTCGAAAAAATTAAACTTTTCACACGGCCTTAAAAGGACTATGGCAAGAAATCGACATACTTTGTCTTCAATTAACGAGCGATGTGTTTCACCTATATAATAGATTAAAAAAAATTATATTTTTACATTTCTCTGTATACTCTACAATTTGTATATAAAATATAAAAAATGTGTAATAATCTTTAAGTTTAACTCGCTGAATTATAGTAAGTTTATACTACTACTTAATTTCCATAAAATATTTAAAAATATCCTTTACCACAAAAATGATTCCACTTTTCAAAATTAGAGTTAACGCATATTTTGGTAGAAACTCTTTCATGATCAGCGCTCACAATAGACTAAGCTAAATCAAGTGTTACTACATTTTTTGAAGGCATATATTTGAGCAAAAATACCTACCAACACCGAACACCATTTCTGCTTACTTAAATTTGTAGATAAACACCATGTACTATATTTGTCAATGATATGGTGCAATATTACTGAAGGTATTAAATCGCTGAGAATTTTTATTGTTTCATCCATTGGTACAGCATTGTATGGCCATGACTGTTCATCGATTAAATTTAATAAATACGATAGTACTCTAGCTTCATAGTCAAATTGGAGCACTCTCCAATATTCTAATTATATATATAAATTGTTATATTACAAACAAACAATAATATTTTTTTTTTGTATTTTAAGTAATACCGTTGATTTGAAATGCGCCTATTTCTTTCAAAGCTTCTTTCAGCTCGCCATCACTAGCTTGTACTACTGCTGACAACTTTTCATAGGTGTACATTTCACAAGTCTCCAATATTTCGCTTTCACACTCTGATCCTTTATAACTACACTTGCTTAACAAGTGTGTTAACTTTTTTAATCGTGGTTTACAAGGTCTAACTTCAAAGTAAGTGTGAAATATGCCAACGATCTGAAAAACACATTTTTACTACAATTATACACTTAATTTAAATCTTAAATCATTAATTAGATTTGAATTGCATATGTTTATGTAGTTACAGTTATGTATTTATTTTTATCAGTTATTTATACTGTATTGAAACTTTTTGGGAGTTGCTACACAAATAAAAAAAAAATAATCCTAACAGCATAAAAATAATGTAAGTTCCGGTAAAGATCTAAGGACAGGTCCAAATCTGTACATTAAGAAGCCTATCCAAACCACCTTGGGAACTCAGCAGGAATTACCATTATTGTTGTACAGTTGAGGAAATAGAACATATACAAATACTTGATGTTGAAAGTGTATTTTACCATACTTTTCTATTAATTAATTCATTTTCTTCAGATTGCTCATCTGGAAATGTCAAATTAGGTAATAATAAAATTGCATTAGAAGTCTCTGCCTCTTTAACATCATAGGTCTTGGTTTTCGTGCATAACACAGCCGTCTCATTTTTATCCCCTTTAAAAACTACACTAGAAAAGTGTTTATGAATAATTAGTTATTAGACAATTATTTTAGTAGTTTTCTCAAATAAAATAAAAATATGTAGAATTTAATCCAAAACCAACGTTTGACCGCATTTGAGATCCGATAAAATGTCATCATCGAGTTCTAATAATTTATAATTTTCAAATTGTTCCCCAAAATAAATTGGTTGGACATTCGGTTTTAGATCATCTTCCGAAAGTTTGGCATGTTCAATTACTTTCTTCACATCTTCAACTGTTCGTACATAATCATTCGTTCTTTAAAATAAAAAAAATCATAGGTAGAGTATGCATAAATATAGTTATTGTGTAACATTTAGTGTACTAGTGTACATTTCCCACCCATGATCACACATACCTGCTATCTTGAGACATCGCTGAGGAACTCCAAATTAAAGTCAATTATTAAAGTTTAATTAATTATATTATTTAACCATTCAATTTTATTATTTATTGAATAATAGAAAGCTACTTACTACTACAAAAAAATAGTTAAAAACTATAGGAAGTTATTTTGTGCTATTACTATGAATTAAAATTATGATAACAGCGACTAGAGTTGTAAAAAGAGCGGGAATATGATGTTCAATATTATGACCAGCATTTTATCTATGAAATTAACAATAGATAATATAGGTGTTATTAATAATGATTAAAGTCTTTTAATAATGGTTCATTATAAACTTAGGTATTTTAATAAAAGTTTTTCTGTTAAATATTTTTATTGACGAACTCGGAACTCAATTCTATAATATAAATAATTTTAAAAAGTACTTTACGATTCAGATCACGGCTTATCAATCCGTGATAACAAAATTTAGGTACTCATATCAATTATAGTTACCATCAACTACTGAGTGAATTATCTGTTGCACGATTAAAGATTGTCGTTATCTGTAGTAAAGCAAAATTTATTGGCTGCCAGAACAATTTAGTATCTAAAGCTTAAGTACATATAACTATATGAGTACACCACATTGACACTCAACTTGTTAAAGACGAATTTACACCAAAGTTCGTAGATAATATCTATATATTAGGTATAATATATTATAAATCTTTTTATAATATCAATATTCTATACTAAAAACCTTGGGTTTACTCGGTAAATTGGACTGCGCAAATTTGTCTATGCATTTCGTTTTGAGCATTTTTTTTTTAGGCGTTGCCTTACAAAAATGTTAAACTGCGCAGTTATTTGATTCAATTTACACGTCAAATGGTTTGTGCGGTCCGTTAACTGATCGTGTAGTCACTTTAAAGCTAAAAAAATATCAATGTTTCTAGAAAATAGAGACGGACGTCCGTGTTGATAATGCGTACACGGACGTTCGTTATTAATAATTATTTATTTTTATTTTTTAATTCGAAATAAACAATCTATGCCCTAGGCATAATAAGAATGTGTGCTACAAGTAAATTCACATGTATAGGGTGAGGGAAGAAACCATCCAGTGATCGCACTTCCTTTTAATTAATAATTATAAAACAAAAAATTGAGCTAACACGATATATTGTCAGCTGACAATATTAATTGGTATACACAGGCGATTTTGGAAATAATTATTATTTTTAAAATTATCGGTAGGTATTTGAATTTGCATAAAATTTGGCTTATTTTATAATAGGCAAATGTTGTTTTTTTTAAATACTTTTTTTCAAAAATAATCCACTAAAAAATGATCATCTTAAACTGACCGTTATCTCGCAAAAGTAATTAACTGACCCACAGTGTGTTGGCGCTATGACTTGTAGCTTGTGACCATCAAAGAAAAAACAATATTTTCTACGAATATTTTAAACTAAACTATTTTTTTCAGAAAAATGCATACCTTGTAATAACGTTATCACGCTCACGATGGCCTAATTTTGTTATTCTTAAACGTTATAAACTTCTAGAACACATTTATATTCTAAATGTTTTTAATCTAAAGAATGTATAATGTCGGAAATGTTCTGCTCGAGTTTTGGCCATTGTTCCTCCGTAAAATAAAATTGTGTTAATGTCAATTATTTTAAGCCATGAATTTCCTCAGCATATTTTTATCAATAACCACAGGGTATATTATAAAACTTTTTAGTTGGTGCAATTCCATAAATTGTGCACGGTTGTTTGGCCAAAAATATAATATCAAATATAATTTATCTTATTATAGAGACGTAGGTTTATGATATTTTCTTAGTTTTTGGCTAATTAATGATAGATTAATTATTTATATCTAAAAATATTCTTCGAACCGTTTGGAAGAGTTTCGGACTGTTTAACCCTTTCGTTACTGTCATCCTCGTGCGAGGATTTAACTTTAAAAATCGAGTAAAATATTAACAACGTACTATCATTATCAAAAATGTCTTTAAACACAAGTTCTAGTATAGATTTATGGTAAAAAAATTGACACAGCTATATTGATAATCAATATATCAGTCCGATACGTAAAGGGTTAAAGTAAAAAAATATGCCAATTTTTGGAATGTTTTACGACTATAATGAGAAAGGAGTAAACTCTATTTTGGCCTTCTTAGATTATCTTAAGCGTATCGGGAAAATCAATGCAAAAGCAGTCCCTCCCAGGAGTTAAGTATTATCCAAGAAAAAAGATTATCTTAAGCGCATAGTTATGTTGTAGTCTGTATTTATGAAGATATATCGGTCTAATAGTTAAAAGTTATCAAGGACACACAATTACGTTTTAAGTAATTTTATTTTTTAGCCAATACATTTTCAACTCTACGTTGATGTTGAAAATTATAAAAAAAAAATGTCATCTAAATTAATTACGGTCACCTGTGTACATTATTTATGAATTATGCATAACATACACGTGCATGGTATATTTGACATGTTTATTCAATTTAAACATTTAATAAAAATATTATGCCGCCCGGATGTCAAAAAATGCAAAAAAGTACATTTAACATTGTCAATTTAGACTATCTAATTTTGTAGATTAATGTATCCAAATTTGTATTTAAACTATTAAATCCGAAAATTTGGTTGAGTTATGGCCTTGATTAAACGTGTAATATGAAGTTGAGTAAGTCAAGTACGTATACTTACTTACCAAAAGCTTACAATGTAATATACTAATATGTATCATAATATGATAAAGGGGTCAAATATATTTATAAAAAAATAAATCGGCGTCATCTATTGAAAAAAAGTGATTACTTAATAAAACTTGAATTTTATTGATGATTCCTGAAAATTATTTTTATAACGAATTCTATTTTATATTATTATAAAAAAAAAGACTAAATCATATTTTATATCTAGTTCTAATTAGGCAAGATAATTGCTGACAACGAACTATTAATTTGTTCATTTATATAGTTGGTCAAATATCATAACATAATATTATAATGCATATAATGCATAATTATTATGTTTTAAATAATTTGTATTTCTATGTGTACATAAAGTTATATTAAATTTACAAGATAGTACCTTTATAATTTATTTTTGCTTGAAATTTTAATCGATTGTAGTATTTAATGGTTTCAAATGATAAATTAGCTTAAGCCTTAGCTCTTAGTTTATTTATTTAATATAAATCTAATTAAAAAGAAGTCATATACCATAAAATTAAAATTACTTTTAAATATGCGGTTAAACCATGAGATTTTTGAAACTATTTGCTGAAGAAAATTTTTTTTTAACCTGAAATTTATGGTAAAGATACAATGTTTTCAAATTACTTTCAAATTTTTTTTTAAAGATAAAAACAATGGTACAAGCAGCCAAGCTAAATTTGATTAGCTCTATTAGTTTCTATCAATAATTGATTTACATGGCGTGTATATACAAACTAAAACGATTTATTTTTTTGTAATTTTAGACCTGGGATAGCACATTAAAAAAATCGTATTTTTTAGGCTTATTATAATACATTTAAATTTAAATACCGAATGCAGCACCATGTTAAAATGTGCACGGAACATTTGAATAAAACAAAGGTAAAAACACATTTTGAAAAACAAATTATAAGTAGGCGAAAACAGCACAAAGCTATCATTTGGTGATTTTAACTGGTGAAGAGTGAGTGGGTCGGCTGATGGTCAGGGTGAAATTTTACAGGGCCCGTTCCGTCCTACTTAGGTTTATTTACGAACAGACGACAAAAAACCTAATGCATTGTTAGGTACCTATAGGCTACAACATAAGTGTAAGTTATAACTATAACTACAAAAACTAACTATACATTATCAGTTTCGCATCGAATCAAAAAGTGTTTTGGTAAATTATTATCAATAAATACAATTATTGAATAATAATATTTTGATTAACAAATGGTAATTGAAGAAAAAGCTGGGAGTTGTTTCTAAGTTATAATTTTAAAAATAAATATCATCGAGTTCAATGAACGCTGATTGCTAATTAATGATAAAAACATAAAAGGAAACAGACTTTTCAGAACATAAAAATAGTGTCAACATGTTTGTTGTCCACGTTGGAGGCCAATGTTTAAATTTATAAAAATGCCGCCACGGAGCACAGTCACTCACTGTCAAGCATGCATGGTCCCACACGCGGAGAAATGGCCTTGTCGTGGCCGCCATATTGCCCCGCTCTCCGCTCGTCATACTATGTTCGCCGTTTTTTCCTCATATTTTTATCATCCGATGCGATGTGTGTTCAGTGTGTTCCCCCACACATGCACCATACCACGTCTGGTATAGTAGCAGCCGTACACACCAATAACATAACACAACTATCATATGATATATAATATACGTAACGTAACTTGTATTTTACTCTAGGCTCATTATAGTAAATTATTTTTTTTAGTTTTACATAAATATATAATAATTTGTTTTGACAACTCCAAAACTGGATTTGGTCGATTCGACAACGTAGTTGGTCTTCTTGAAATTTACTGTTGCGTTTGTTGTTATTATTGTTTTGTTGCGAAAAATTAAAATGATAAACGACGGTAATCATACACACGGAACCCGTTGATAGTAACAGCAGCCGGAACAGCGATCAATCGTCCGACGTCCGGATACCTATTCCGACGATGAGTGGCCGACGACGGTATTTGCAGTGATAACATATTATTTTCCAGTCGTCGAATCTTCAAAATTGGGCTTGGATCGTCGTCATCGCTGATTCCGTTTATTCGTCGCCCGCGTACATGGCCCCCTCGTTTCGTGAGTCATTTTTCTGACATTGACTAGGGCCTACATTGTGTATTGTGACACACTACAAACACTCTTGTCGTCGACGCCGCGCCCTCACTTGGCTGACGATTTTCGCGGTAGATGAACAACCACCAGTTTTCGTCATCATAACTACAATCATCCGAATGTACAATCAAACGTCTTGAGTAGCTAATTGCTATCATGCCGTTCCCTCCGCCTCCACCACCGCCAGCTCCGTCTTCTGGTCCACCGCCACCACCGCCTCCAGGTCTTCCGATATTTGGTGGCGGAGGTAAGAAAGGCAGTAATGGAAATTCGGGTCAGGCTAGAGACCAGCTGTTGCAGTCCATTAGGCAGGGAAAACCTTTGAAAAAGACTGTCACCATCGACAAGAGTAAACCGCTTGTTAACAGTGAGTATTATACCTAGTACATGACGTTTTACTTCCATATGTTAAATGCAATTTAAAATTAATCCTTACGTTTTATACGGTGTTTATTGCTGTAATGTTAAACAATTATTAGTTTTATTACTTATAATAATCAGAACAAATAGATTAATGGAATATTTTATATAATAATTAAGACAAGTGCACCTTTTTGTATTTTCTTGTACTTATTTGTCATCTGTTAACAATTTAAAAATCCATTGAAATTTTAAGGTTCACCCAAAACACCTACATCTTGTAATGGTTCGGCAAAATTGGGAGAAATGACTTCTATAGCTGCGCGGACACCCAATGGATTAGCTGATTTGTTTGCAGGTGGCATGCCAAAACTTAAACCAACTGGACTAACCGGAACAGGTAAGCTCACTACAGGAGTTTATTTATTTTCAGTTTTCTTTCATTTAAAGTCAAATCATAATTATATATTTACTTAATCAATGTTGGCTCTCTTACCTCCAAGCAGTCACGCTTTTGAAAATCCTGGTGCTTACACCACTTCCTATCTTATCGTTTCGAAATTTTTTTTTCTTTCGCCTATTGAATTGATATTCTATTAACTAGAGAATAGTGAAAGTAACACCAGGTTGACTTCAGGCATTTAAATGTAGTGTGTTGTCTTTCAGTAAAGGTGGTTTAAACACTGCTGGCACAAATGCTTGGAGGTTTAAAAAAAAATTGTTAGAAATTCTAATTTTCTGAAAATATTGTTGAAGTAGTCTTTTGTAAAAGAAATTGTTAGTTCTTTTAAATGTAATGTTGTTTGAAATTATTGTAGACGAGCAAAGTATTTTGTATTGTAATTATGATACGGAATTATGTGAAGTAAGTAGAAAAACTGTGATGAATAAAGTAATTTGGAGAAATTTAGTTTTTGGTTAATGTTACTGGTTACTATGCTAATGTTTGACATTCTATCATGGATGGCTCTGTTTACTGATTTTAAAGACTCCTCTTGAAAAGAAGCCGCCATCCTCTTTTTCAGCAATAGACTAACCCATCACAGATTAGCAAATTTGTTAGGATACCTCCCCTCTTCTTTGACAGCGATGGTTCTAAATAGGCCACTTAAGCTGTACTTCAACATATAATCAATGTATCTAGTGTTACAACAACAACCTATTCTTTAATACTAATTAAAAAAAAAATTTTTTAGAAGCATTTTAGAATTAACTTAAATTACAATTTACTCTAAATGAGAAGTCAAACTATACCGAAATGTAGCCAAAATAATATTCTGGTGTATAAAGTAAAATATGACTGCAGACTGAACCATTTAATGATGTGTGTCTTTAGGTGGTCATATGGTATTAGTCATATTCAGTATCTAGCTTAATACTTGGGAAAATATGATATCCTTTTTTATCTGAATTATCTGAATTTAATATTGATTAGTCCACAGAATAATGTCTGACCATTGCTTTATGTCACTTTTGCGTACAAAAAGACAACAGTGCACTTAAAAGTATATGAGCACAGCTTGTTTTTATTAAATTTAATTCCATCGTTTTTAAAAATTGAATGAATGAAATAATAGATAAATAATTTTAGTAACTAATGTATTTTATTTGTCTTACAATTATAAAAAAAGATTACAATAGCATAAATTAAATAGAGCATTAAACATAAATTTATAGGCATTGGTTTTTGTTCGTTAACAAAATATATATAGTCAAAATATTGATATTTTCTACTTAAATTGTAAATAATATACTCTTTATACTTTAAGAAGAAACCTCTGCGACCAATTTGTATGTTGGGGGCGTGGCCACTGGAGGTTCCTTCTCAAAATGAGTAAACTATAGTTGGTAGTTACTTTAAAATAACTTATGTGTAGTATGTACATAATAATATTAGTATTATGCATGATATTAAAGATTGTTATGTGCACTATGCATAACATACATAATCTTGTGTAATATAAAATATAAAGGAAGAATAAAATATACAGTTGTTTATAATTTATAATAATTAAATTATGTAATCTTTGTTTTGTTATCAACTATTTAATAAATGACATTGGTACTTTTAATAGTAGTTAGCTGTTGAGAAAAATATGATTGAAAATAAAGTCATCAAACTTAAGATAACATAGTGTAGCTACCTCATTCCATAAAATTATTTATTTAATATGCGAGTTGTTCAGCAATTATATTAAAGATTACAGTTTTCTAATAGTTATAAATAAATGCACAATTATTTTTTTTAAGTTGTTAAATAAATAAATGTTTTCTCTGTATGGTTGTTTAAAACTAAAATCCTTATGTTTATTGTATATAAACAATTTTATTAATACAATAATACAAATTACAACACTGCTCAAACAATTGAGTTGCCTAAAGATTCAGTTTACCTGTCAACATGCAAGCCAGTGCCATGCTAACTGTCATTAACGCCCTAGAGCAATCATGTTTGGCGCCCCTAAAATTTGTGGCATCTTTGGCGCCCTAAGGCACTTGCCCCCGTTGCCACCCTCTTAGCCTTGACGCGAGCATACAGTAATTATTACATTAAGGCTGGATATAGATTTAAGTATAAATAATATGATATTATTTAGATTAAACAGAAAAAAAACTCAAACATAGTAATTTTTTTTAAAAATAAGTTGTTTAAAAAAAAAGATTTAAAAACCTAAATAAGAATACACAGTATAAAAAATATACAACTATTTTAAAAGAGGTTTTATTCTGGTTCATAAAACCAGATGGTTAATATAGCCTATGGGTTTTGATATAGGTAGTGTGCAGTATAAGACTAAAGATTATGAATTATTGCGAGCGGTTGAGGGGATATGTGTTAGGATATGTTATTTTGTTTTAATACATTTTTTTTATGTATTGTATTAATAAACTTTGTTTATACTAATAATTATACACTAGACATATTACATTTTGATGATAAGTAATAGTAGGTTTTACTTATTAAACAGTGACCCTGATAAATCTGACCTAATTTTAGCCTAGTCTTAAAAAGGCAATGTTGCTATCTTGTGCAAGTACCTATTATTGGTATGTCATTTTATTGGATTCTTTAATTGGATGCATTGGAATTCTTTATTTGCTTTATCATATTTGTGTTTAAATATAATGATAATAAAAATATGCTACTATTATAGTAATTATTAATATTTTCACATTTAATAATTGCTATCAGGATTTTTATTTGCTGTTTCATTGAATGTAATTTCGTGATTAAACTAAATTAATTCTAAAAAAAACTAAAAAATAATAAACCCATATTAATGTGCTGTTTATTGTTTGTATTTTTTTGCTTGGATGCATTGGACTATTTCTAAGAAAATGTTTGAATAAAATTGAATTTTATGATAAAGAGTTTAAGAACCCTCAAGTGCTTACCAAGTATTTTGTTTTTAAAATCTTCGTTTCATACTCTGCATTCATATTTACCTGAAGTGACTTACCATTTCATTATCAAGGCTTGTCTTAAATACCAGAAAACCGTATTTAACCCTCTACCATGTGATGGGCCAGAAATTTAGTATACTAGAATGAGAGAATAAGAGTAATGAGATAAAACTAGAAGAGAGAGATAACTTTTAAGAACACTTTTTTTTAGTACTTGTCATTGTGTCTAACTAATGTTTTATTACTTTTATAACTGGACAAATATTTTAATTGTGCATTAATAATTTTAGGGCAAACCAAAATACAGCCATCTTCATTGTCAAATCAAACCTCTGTAAATAAATCACCTTCAAACACAAATACACTCCCATTACAAAAGGTAAAAAGTGGTTTATCAAATTACTATACTATTTTCAAAAATGTAATTACACTTTATTTTTTAGAAACATGATGCTGGAAGAAATATACAAAACGATATTAAGACAAGAGGGCCACCTCCACAGCCGCCATCTTTTAATCAAAAACCTAATATCCCCTTTGTAATGATTTTAATAAATTTGTATTTTCATATTTTTTTTATTCATACTTACTATGTATTTTGCTTTCAGAGTACTTCTGAGCCTGTATCCATTATTCCTCCTGGTGTAGGCCACAATAGGACGGGTAGTGTTCCAAGTCTTGTATCAGAAAACGGTTCTGGAAGAGGTCCTCCACCAGGTGGTTATGGAAAACCAAACTTGGCGCCAAAACCACCACCAGTCAAACCAACTGTGCCTGTTAAGAAATCTACGCTAACAGTCAGTTCAAATAATTTGGCAAACGCCGATAGTCGGAATTTAGTTTCACGAGCACAAAGTATGAGGATCCCGCGAACTCCGCCAGTAGCTCCAAACAATCAACGTAATAAAAATATAAAATAAAACATTGTGTTAATAATAATCATTGAATTTTTATTTTTTACTTAAAGCGCCCCAATTTAACAATTTGGCTAATAGTAATAAAAACCAATTGCCTTCATTCCATCAGTCACAAGACAGTATTCTGAGGACAACAACCTCACCAGCAAATAATCAATGGGGATCACGAACATTAAGACCAATCAAACATCCAAACACGAGGCCTCCTCCTCCTCCCATTAAAGCGCCATTAAATCCTCCTCCATGTGCTCCACCACCACCTCCACATCGAAGTGTACCTCCTCCTCCAAATGTGCCTCCCCATAAAAGTATTCAAAATAATGTAAGTATTTTATTATCATTATGATTTTGCTTTAATCAAAAATACTTATTACTAATTTTTACTTTGTATAACTATTAAAAATAAATTAATTGTAATATTAATTTGTGTCAGGTAACTAACGGAACACCACCAACCCCTCCAACACGTCATTCTTCCATGCGAAATGGACCAACATCTGTTTTGAGCATGACACTTTTAGGTAATGTATTTCATACAAAACTACTAAATTAAATGATGATTATAATTTTTTTTTTTTATACAGAAGAAATGGAGGCAAGGTTTTCCACTTTGTTTAAGCCAATTAACAGAATACCTCCTCCTCCCATTTTTCGGAGAGTCGATAAAATCTATAACAGTAGACTAGTCGGTGTGTAAGATTATTTTTGATATTACTTTATATTAGTCAATTTAAGTAGTAAAAACAAATATTGTTTTAGTTGCAAAGCACCAAGCTCCTAAGCCACCAGGCTATTGAAAAGTGTGATTTTGATTTGCTCAAATATGAAGAGAAGGATTTGATTGTTTTTTTTATTGTTAAAGAACAATACAAAGCAGTCAACATCGGTTTGTGTGTTCTAATTTATTATTTTTTTGTTTTTGGAAGAAATTTTATTTTTTCATACATATATATTTATAAATAGAAGTACAATATTATTTCATTTAAACCAAAGGAATTGTGATAATTTGGAGTATCATTGATTGAGTCAATGACAAATAAAATTGAAAGAAAAAAATATATTTTTGTCCCGAAAATAATTAAACATAATTATTCTTACAATAACTATAATACAGTTATGTATGTTACTTTGTATAATTATTATAATATTATATAGAAATTTAAATTATTAATTTCGGAAAAGATATTTTTATCCAGTAAATGTTGTGATAATATTTTTGCACCTGTTATTATTCTATCGTGATTTGTGTTATAAGAACATGATTTTTTTTTTCTATTTTAAATGTAATTTTTTTTTGTCCTATTTGGTTGGTTGATAACATTTTTAATTAATTGATACCCAATTTCAAGTATATTTGAACATGTGCATGGGTACGAATTTTTCTTTATGAGAAAATGAGTAAATGGACTCAAGTTGTGAAAGTAGTATGTAATTTATATTATTCCGTTTTGGATAATATGTTGCAAAATGTCTCGTCAATTATGATATTTAGGGTCTTGAGCCTACCAAGGTTACACCAATAGCTGGGTGAGTGATTAATCCTAGATTAGGTCTAATGACTAATTCTGTTTGATTACTTGCGTTTGTTTTAAAAATGTAAAAGCTGTCTGATTTACAACAAAAATCCTCAACATTTTGTAGGGTTCAAAGATATTTACAATCCAATGCTACAAATGTATGTAATTTTGCTTGACGCTTACATGAATCAGTGTAAGAGGGGGGTGGGGTTAATTATTTAATTATTATTGTTTCAATAAAATAGATTGTTAACATTTTTATTTTACTTAATCTCGCCTAGTCATTAATTAGATAGTGAATTGTACATTTGTTTAAAGATGAGGGAAAGGGTTAATGGAAAGTTATGTTATTTCAATGAAATTGAAAAAGCTAATATTATAATCAAAAAGGAATATAATCTCTAACAAATTTTGTACGGCATTAGAAATTTCATATTCAATTTTCTTTCTTCTCTTTCTATTTATTTATCATTTTGACGTGTAGTTATTATTTCATCAACGAATCATAACAACTTGTAATTTTGTGTTTATATTTAAATATAATATCTATTTTTTTAATGAAAATTTGTAATTATTATGTTTTTTAATTTTGATGTTATTATTATTATATATATTTTTTAACTTGATTATGCGTTTATATTAATTTCTATTGTGCATCATAATTTTGAGTGAACATATATGATATTGTAAGACTTGATATCACAATATTGGCAACCAGCCTTTGTTATAATGACAGTGTATGTCAAATAATAAAATATTGTCTTTTATTTAAAACTAATTATGTACTTATCAATTTATTTATTATAAAAACTATATTCCCCTGAGTTTTCAAATTGTATTATGAGTACGTGTTATGCATTATAATGTCGTAATATTTTGTTATTACATTATGTTTGATGTAATGTACAGAGGTGTGCATTTTATTAGACTAGTAGGGAAAAATCACAATTTCTTAAGTGACTTTCAGCCAAAAAATTCATCAAAGATCGAACTTTGTGATACGGCGCATCTTCTACATGATGACAGTCATTTTCAGCCTGTTTGACTCCCTTTAATATTCGTTATGGACTAATAAAGTTGTTTCATTCTGTTAATTGCTCAGAGACATTATTGGAGATGGGATTCAAATAGGCACTAACTTTGTATCCTTAGTTTAAATGTATTGATAACAGTGAGGCGTTACAGTTAAAATAATAAAATTAAAATCATAATGTAAAATAAACAGACATACAAATAGCAAATATTAATACTTAAATATGCTAAAAAAATGGAATATTGTTTCATATAAATTAGGTGATAAATAACATATTTTGGTATGTTATCTGCTATACCAAGTACAAACACTGAAATTAAAAAAATAAACAGTGACCTAGAAATTTACATTGGTTAAAGTGTAATTTTTTTCTTAATAAAAAAAGGGTTTGACTACAAATTTTTAAGAAAATTGTAAGTGTTATAGGTCCTCTGTGCACCAGAAAATGAAATAAAGTGGTTTTCCGTTTTAGAAAATAAAAGGGGTTATGATACTTTTTTGGTTTCTTAATGTGTATTGATAATATTTTTATCTAATAAAATTTGTATATTAAATATATATTAATATATATTTAATATTACATACCAATTTGAAACTAATTCCAAACTTTATGTAAAATTCGCCGTTATTTTAATGTTGAAAAATATGTACTTTTAGTACAAAACCAAAATTGGAAAATTAACATTTAAAACAATAAAAATCGATTGTAAATCTAAATTTAAATTAAAAATTATATAATGGTAGCATAAATGAAAATTAAATATAAAATGGCATCGTAAATTAAAATTGAATGAAATGTATGACGGGGTATTGTATTTATTAAAATCAAACACGATAAAAAAGTTCTGATATTGTTGATCGAAATCTAAACCGAAAAAGTTACAACTGTTTTGAAATAATTATAATTTTTATCATTCACAGCAATTAATACTTTAATAATTTACACATTATATATAGTTGATAAAAACTTTTTGACATACCTCATAATATAATAACCTATATACATATAATATCATGTCTTATCCCGGATTCCTGATTTTACGTCAAATTGAAGAAATATTATTAAGAGATTTTCTTATGCTATTACTTTATAATTTGTTTAAGAGGGCGTCGCACCGCCCATTTTTAAGGAGCAAAGTATAGGCAATTTTTTTACAAAATCTTAATTTAAAGGTTAAACTGTGATGTATAATTATTAGTTCAATAACTAGGACTCTATTTTGGTAGTTAATTTATTTATTGGACTATCACAGCATCCTTGAAAGCGATTTAAAAATGTTTTTTCATCTCTACATGTTTAAGCAGACTGAAAATAACTCGCTTTATTTTGGATTTAGAGTAAAAGCACCCATTATAAAATTAAAAGAGAACAATATTTCGGAGGGCAAGAGCGTTTTTTTCATTTTTCTAAGTATAACGCTTAATACATAGTTTAGAAATAACGACTATTTTAACATTTTTAAATGACTAACTTTCCAAAAAATTATTTTTTTTTTAAAAAACGCACCGTCTAGCCCTCTGGAATATTGTTTTCTTTTAATTTTATAATGGATGCTTTTACTCTAAAACCAAAATTAAGCGAGTTATTTTCAGTCTGTTTAAACATGTTTTTACCACTGAAAATCACCGGTGCGACGCCCTCTTAATTGTTACAATAAGTTATAAACGATAATTTAAATTTCATTTTGATGGTTTTACTTGACAGTTGAAGTTGTCAGTGTCAGAAAGTATGAAAAAACGTCTGGGCAGACATTTTATTTTTACAATAATTATTTTGTATTAAACGTTAGACAATATGAAAGTATAATTTATATAATAATATTATAAACATTGCGTATATTGGTACCTCATTAATTCTCCAATTAAACAATTTAATATTAAAATTATTAACTGAACATTTTTTGATAAAAATTGAATTTGATATTGTTGGTAAAATTGTTTGGACAAAATCAAAGCAGAAAAAAATTATCATAGCAATTTGTATTTATACATTTTAACACAATAAATTATTAATATATTATGTTTATAAGATATTTTTTTTTATGTACCCAAATTTTTCATTGTAATTTGTATTTATAATTTAATAAATTATTAATATATTATTAAATATATTTATTTTTATGTACCCTAATTATTACACATGTTTAATAAGTTGTTACGATTATAGGGCCTCCAAGACAACTGTATCCACGTGCCTCAACAAGAAATGTAGTTCTGCCACTGCTCTTTCTAGTTAAGCAATTAATTTTTTTGCGTAACTGAAATATAAATAACATTTTTTTATATGTTATTATTTTAACAATATGAATGGCAAGTATTACCTTTATAAGCATATTCTAGTGTGGTAGTAATATTGCGCATGTCATTTTCTATAGTACGTGTCCAGTTTTCAACATCTCCTAATTCTTTAAGGGCACTGTTGAAGTTGTCAATTAGAGATAACCATTGAGAAGTTTGTTTGGAAAATACGATGGCACTTTGATGTAATTGTTTTGCTTCAGCATCCAATTTTTTTTGATTAAGATATGCTTGTGCAACACTGAAATAATTAAGATTATTAATTTGTCTAAGTTTTAATTGGTTATTGACATGTAATTTGAGTACATTTTATTTATAATGTAAAATTATTTAATTGTCATTATTTCATACCCAACATTAAGGTGTTCGACGAGCGCATTAGTCAATTCTTTAGATGCGTTCACTGCTTCTTTTCTTTTGATTTCTAATATAAAATTAGTAATACAGTCTACTGAATTTTAATTGTATACAAATTATAATAGTAAAAAATAATAAAATACCTTGACTTTCTTTTCGTGCCGCTTGTTTAGATTGGTGCTCTTTAACTATTGCAGATAACATCTTGGCATACACCTCAAAAGTAAATCCGGCACAATTTTTAGAAACTGATTTATAACTTACTTATAAAAGTTTATATAATAAAGGAAATTTTTTAAAACATGTACTTATGGCGCAATAGTGTTATTTTAATAACGTATAATTTACGTTTGCATCACAAAAAAGTAACTTCATTCAAACAAGTGCTGTAAAAGTTTTAAACAACCAGCTACAATTAACTCTATTTATTATATTGTATACTTGTATGTAAATATTTATATTATCATAGAATATTCTGTACTTGTATACCTGATAACGAATATTATCTTTACAGGAGAATTTTGGAAGCCATTTTTACAAATTGATAACACAAGTCTTATCACATTATTTGAAACAGAAATTTAAAATGTTGTTCCAAAAAAATAGTAAATACATATTTACTTGTACATTTTTATAAATTTTTTTTTTTTGACTAAGCTTGTTGAACGAATTAATTATTAATTTATTGTGGCTTTCTTTTAATTCAAACTTAAGTAAACATGAGTAGATACAAATCTCCATTAACTTTTAAACAAAAGCCATCGGTTATAGAAGGTATTACACAAATCAAAGTTAAAGAAGATGAGTTGTCTCAAATAGAAAGTAATACAACAGCCAATAGTCCGAACATTAGTTGGACAAGTGATACTACGAGTCAAGCATTAGCATCACCCGTAAATCAACAATGGCGAGGACGTGGTTTTAGTTCTCCAAGATTTAATGGTCCTCGACCAAGAGGTTCGCCATACCATTGGAGTCCTAATAATCAGAATAACAGTTGGATTTCAGATGTAAGCACACTCTTAGAGTTTTATATGCAAATTATTTTGATATTAACATAATTTTTGTCCAACAGCATAATAATTCAGATTTGAACTTGTCATCTGGACAAAATAACTTTAGTCCATATAACTCGCAGTATAACCGACATCAAAATCAAATGACAGAAGTAAGCAATTATATAGTTATAGGTTCAGTTTACTTACATCGCTAAATATTATGTTATGAATAATATTTTGACTGACGAAAAGTAAACCATTTTATTTGTCTTACGAAAAAAAGTATCTTGTGACAAAAATTAGTATGTTATGCTTATATCAACTAGTAAATCAGTAACCATCATTTTTGATCTTTTTCATACAATTTATATTAACTCTAATAGCAAAACTATTTTTTTTTATGTATGAAATTACTTAAATTTCCTCATTATAGCAAAATATAAAAACAGATAAAAAAATAAATATTCAAATTTAAATAATTCAATTATCATATTTATAAATAATTGATTGTAGAATTTTTATATTAAGTACACTTACGTGTACTCTAGCTAAGTGTTCTTATTGACAATCTACTAGAGGTGTAGGGGCATAACTAGTGCCTAACACCATCTGGAAATACTCCTAGCTGTAATAGACTACATTTAAATGACTTATTTAGTGCTTTTTAAAGGTTAAACTTAAATTTTGTTTTTGACTAGACAATTCGTGCAAGTGTGACCTTTGGTTTTATGAATTTTAAATTTTATAATCTTAGTGCAAATAGCCAAATGATGCCATGTCAAAGAATTACATTTTTTATTATTTATTTTTTTACATTTATATGATAGCATATTCGTGTACGAAAAATAGAAAGAGTAAAAACATAATAGTAGATCAAGAGGTTAAGAGATGTATAATTAAATACATTCATCATCTCTTTTGGCTATTACAAACATTTACTCGATTTTATTGGATTAGTCTTATTGTAAGATTGTTGTATTTTAAAATATTGAAGAAGTTATTTTTTATTTTTTCAGAGATTTTCAAATCATGGTAATGAAAATGAAGATGACAGTTATTACGATCCGTCTATGATAGAAGATCCTTGGGAACCGGAATTAAATGACTTAAGAAATAATAGTTATGTAAATAATAATCAAATTAACAATGACTAATATATACTTAATATAAATATTAAGTTTGGGATTTTACATTTTTATATAACAAACATAATTTTGGTTCCTAATTCTATACATTTTAATCTTTATTTATTTCAATTTCCCATTATAGGCTGATATTTTTGCTAATTGGCTAATCCAGGTTTTTACTTGTGTATTTTTTTTTTAACACATGTATTCTATATATTTGTGTAAAAAAACAGGTGTCAGTATAATTCATTTGTAAAAATATTTACTATGTTAAAATAATGTAAGTAAGAGGAAATGTGTATGGTTCAATGGGGGATTTCCAACTAAATTTTTATTCCTGGGTCCTTTATAACAATTATTATAATATAAAACACATTTTTTTATTGCACAAAACTATCATATTCAAATAAATATAATATAATCATTTTAAAATACTATATAAATATAGTTTTGATTGACCTTCAAATTGTATTCTATAATTATAGTTATATTTTACGAGTGTGTTTGAGCCATACTTGCCTGGGTTATAATGATCAAGTTTATCGCTTGTTGTTAAACTTAACACCATTAATCTAACCGTTCTGATGCACATGATAGATCATATTTTGTGTGAGTGACAAGTCCTAATGAGAATCATAGTATTGTTGTCGCTGTTAAAAAGAACCAAAACTGTCGCGAGTACAGGAAGAAAAGGGTTAGGAAAGATTTAACATAACAAAATATATAAATATATTATTGAGGAACTATTATTAAAGGTACACCCTAATATTATTTAATACAGGAATAATTATTAATTTTACAAGTTTACAGTAATCGTATTTACAACTTAAGGGGAAAGAGTATATACTTATATAAGTAAATACATTATATATTTGTATGTAATGTCTATAATAAATATAAGTAGATGAACAAATAACAATAAATAATACCAAACAGATGACCTGCTATTATCAATAGCAGTTGGTCGTTGGGTTGTCCAGGCGAACAGACGAGACGTCAATGTAGAATAGCGAATCCACGGTGAACTACCAGGTCTTCTGCAGATAAACAGTTATGCAATGCTATTCACGAATGTGGGTGGACCGGTAGAAGGCTGGCAGCCAAAAGTCGTTAAGGCACGACCCAGTATTGTATATACCCAGCGTGTATGCCCTGCGGCTGCTTGAGGGAGCTGATATTAATTGCTCAAAAAGTGCAAGTATAATAAACAACATAAATGACTATGGTCGTCATTTAAAAATATGAAAACTGTGTTGGGGCTCGGGATCGACGAGAGCCACAAAAATAAACCAAACGACAATGTGACAAAAAGTATATTGAATTAACACTTACAGAATTAACGACCGTTGATGGTAATGGTAATCACTATTACCATTACAGTTTTTTAGTATTAGTGCTTACCTTGGTAAGTTTGGGATTAATTCCTGGATTTAAAAGATAACTGAAAAAACAAAATTTAAAAATAAGCATACGTATAACAGAAAATAGGTATAATATTGTAAGTAGTTTTATTTTTATTGAGAATTAAAAATTATTAGAATTCTAACCAACATATACAATATTTATTACTTTATAATAATAATACTTATAAGTTATAGTATAATAATTAATAATATTATATTAACTTAGCTATACATGTATAATATGTATTAAACTAACAAGTACAGTAATCAAATTCTTATTGTTGTCTTTAATGAGATATCTATACAACGAACATTAAAATTTAAAAGCTAAAACATCTAATATATTATATAAAGAAAAAATATGTCCGTTAATAAAAACTACGAAAAAAAGATAATGTATTAATCATCCATAACTTATAATTAAACTACATACTGAAATTAATACAACTAAAATGAACCGTTACAAGTACATCCGAAACAAAAAAAGTTCAAAATATCAGCAAGATATATTGAACAATATGATAATATTTTTGATTAACATTAACCAATATTATTATCATGCGACTTGTCTTGGCTGAAAAGGGTTATGTTCGATGGCCTCAGAGAATTCTCTAGATAATTGCTTTGGTTTGTCCTATCCCAGAAAAATTAATAAACAGTACGAATAAGTACATCATTTATTAAACAAAACCACTAAATAGTCTTTAAAACAAAACTACTATTATTCAAAAAATTAACAAGGATTTTAAGAATATTAATCAATAGGTATGTAACGCCTTTTTAAATATTTCTTTGTACTAATATTCTATTGTATATTTTATTTGACGGGGTCTTAATAATATTAGTTAAATATATTTGAATTAACTGTTTGAGAGGTCTTTCAAGGATGGGGGAGATTTCCCAAAACTTAAATTAGGATGGAATAATGAATATACTAATATATCACACTAAGTATAACTGTGTGAGCATAAATTTACCCAATTACAGAGATAATTTTTTAATTAATAATAATAATATTTGATACGTTATTTTATTGTACTAATATCGCAAAAGAATGTTGTTTGCCTATAAAACAAAATATTTTACATATTATTTTTGCTACATTAGCTTTGTTTTGATAAATTGCATGTGTTCAATGTAAATTATTTACATATCCGTAGCCGACTCATGTGGGTTGTTACCGAATAATATTTATACAATTCCTGGCTGTATTTTTTAAAATTATTAATATGCGGGGAATTATAATTATTAATTTAAACAATTTATTTGCAAATACGAGAAAAAACAAGAAATAAATTCCATATTTGTTTTCACAGGTGACATGTATATTAGCTTAAGTAATTTATTGTATTAGTCATATAAAATTCTGAACATGTACTCCTTCAAAATGCATATTTTCGTGACATGTTTTTTGTTGTTGTGTTGTTTTACCTTATGTAGATGTACATATTTTAAACAGATTATGAATACATTTTTTTCAAAACACATTGACTTTAAATTAATCAATATTCTCTACAAATGTGTTCAAGCCGGTTTTGTTTTTAACCAAATATATACAAACGTATAATTACATTACTAGAAAGATTCTATTAAACCAAACCTGCACAATTTATTATAGTTAAAAATATATATAATAATTAATAATAAATAGTTAAGTATGTGATATTTAAATAATTAGAAATAACATATTATATAATACATGAAGATCTAAAAAAAAATACACATTTACAATTTGTGGTCCCGGGTCTCGTGATCGATATTCGACGTTCCTATTATATTAGACATACAATTTAGTTTTCTTATTTAAAATTACAAATTACTGTCTCGGGTTTAAACATAAGGTTTTAATAATTTTTAACACTCACTCAGTATTGTTCAATCAAACTTTTTATGATTCTTTACGTTGTAACAAATATTTTGTTGATGCCATTGATTCGTTAAACTATCATTATTGCAGATGATTAATTTTATATAATTGTGTTAAAACGGAGATGGATAAGGTGAGATAGAGTAACCGATCAGGTCCCCTATGTGTTCCGGGAAAAATCAGATTTCACTTGTTTACTAAAAAAAAACGTTATTCCGAACAAAGTATTTTTTTAGAATCGAATAACCATTTTACACATTTATAAAAATATTTAATCTAAAAGTTAAAACATTTTTTTTTTACTTTTCTATCTATAAAACGAATTTGATTATTAAAATTAATTTGATAGGTACCACTGCACTGAGTAAGTCTAATACGTTTCAAGAAGTAGTTGCTCGTTATTTTTATGGCAAGTATATTTGATTAATTGTTGAAACATTGTAGTTAGGAATTTCCATGAATGCAATTGTTATTTTTTTTTTATTAATTAATGAAGTTCGTAGCAATACGGTTTGGCTTTAGAGCGTTGACGTCATAATATATTGCAATAATATTTAAGAGGGCGTCGCACCGCCTATTTTTAAGGAGTAAAGTATAAGCGATTTTTCACAAAATCCTAATTTAGAGGTTAAACCGTGATGTGTAATTATTAGTTCAATAACTAGGACTCTATTTTGGTAGTTAATTTATTTTTCGGACTATCACAGCATCCTTGAAAGCGATTTAAAAATGTTTTTTCATCTCTACATGTTTAAGCAGACTGAAAATAACTCGCTTAATTTTGGTTTTAGTGTAAAAGCACCCATTATAAAATTAAAAGAGAATAATATTCCGGAGGGCAAGAAGGTGCGTTTTTTTCATTATTCCAAGTATAACGCTCAATACATAGTTTAGAAATAACGGCTATTTTAACATTTTTAAATGACTGTAACTTTCTAAAAAATTAATTTTTTTTAAAAAACGCACCGTCTTGTCCTCCGAAATATTGTTTTCTTTTAATTTTATAACGGATGCTTTTACTCTAAAACCAAAATTAAGCGAGTTATTTTCAGTCTGCTTAAACATGTTTTTACCACTGAAAATCACCGGTGCGACGCCCTCTTAATATATGGTCAAATGATCTAAGCATTGAGTTGGTCGATCAGACACGGGCTTGAACGGGTTGGGCATAGAAGGGGGGGGAATGGACACCGACCGCCGTTTAGATGAGCAGTTCGTTAAGCGCCTTGTCGGAATCGGACGCTATCGATATGGACACGGTGGGCAACTGGAACCGCTTGATGTGCTTTTGGTGTATAGTGCCGCCGTCGTTGGTGACGGCGACGGCTGCGGTGGCACCGACGACGCCGCCGCCGCCGCCGCAGCCGGACAGCGGAAACGACAGCTGTTGGCCGGTGGCCCATCCGCTGTAGTCGTACTGCGGCAAGTAGTCGGCGCTCCGGGCCTTCCTGATGGGCCGCACCGATATGCCGTTCCTGATGTGCGCGTCCTGGTAAATGGGACTGATGTAAATGGCCGAGTTGATCCGGGACCGGGACCGCAACAGGTTCCGGACGCGCCAGTCAAACGGGTCGGTCAGGCCACAGCGCATCAAGTGTCTCTGTAAAAACAGACCCCAGTCGCGCGATTAGCCAACAAAGAGTACCGAGCGTAAGCGTTGTGCAACGTTTACCGCCAAGACTTAAAAAGCGTCTGGCCTTTGTCGCGATAATAATGTGTTTTGTGCGACCACCTCCGACTGGCTGATGTAGCACGGCCGTCGGTATGCGTTTGCTTATAACGTGACTAGCATGTGGTTAGTATAAAACGTGTCGCCGTACATTTTTTTCTTTTTTTTATACATACTTGATCAGTTAAAACGCACAACAGCATCGACATTGCCGTGTAAACACCAGGCTTTAGTGTTCGAAACATTGTACATAAAAAACACAAAGCTATAAGGTATTGTACGCGTGCAATGTGTTCTTTATGGCGGCACCGAACGCGTGCTTTCGCAGAAACAACAAAACGATAAAAGTAGTAATCATTCGTCGCGCGATGCGGCTCAAAGTAGAAGCAAGCAAAAGCTGTTTTAAATGTTTATACCAACGCCAATTACATGGTAACAACCCAGCTATGTTGTGTTTTAAATTGTCGGTATGTTATATTATTAACTATTGGTCGGAGCAGTGTGTCGACGTATGTTAATTTTGACAACGAAATTTTCATCCTACCGCCGATGAAGATAACGAGGTTTTTTTTTCTACATTTTTCATGTGCTTTTTTTTTCTGTTGTGCATCTCTCGGTGAGTATATGATGTAACCGATTTCAGAAGAAGCATTGAAAGATTGAAAGCTCTATAAAATGTAATGGTACAAACAATGGCGGATTTACGGGCAGACCACATAGGCAGTTGCCTTGGGCAGCAATATTTATGAGGCGGAAAATTTTGATGACTTTCTATAAATATATTTTTTACCGTCTTTGATACAAATGAAAAGTCGTTTATGGGGTGACAGGACAGCCAATATTATTCGCCCTAGGGGGGGGGGCGGGCAATCTACAATTCCGCCTTTGGGCACAGTATTTTTATATAATATGAATTGTTGCGCTAAACTTAGGTATCGGTTAGATTTTTAAAATGTTCGTGTCTTAACATATATCTAGTCGTACGTCATTAAATGGATACTCGGATGGTAAGTCTTTAGAAAGAAATCAATTTCAAATTAACACTTCTTTATCTTTGTTCATATCTCACGTTGTATCAGTTTCAGAATAATAAGAGATTTTTGCTATGTTATCGTTGTAAGTTTTCGAATTATCTGTGAAACTAATTTGACAGGTCCCCATATTGGATGTTAGTATTTATAATGTATCTTACTCACAGTGCCTACACAAACGTTAATAACTAGTAATAGTGTTAAAGGGAAACGTTATTATTAAATAAATACAATTAGATGATGTACTTATTAATTATTTCGTTTAGTGTGTAGTAGTACACTTGTGATATATTTTGTACGAAGTTAAGAGCGTTGATCATGTTTAAGTTCGCTCGAACAACTAACTAATGGTTATACCTTAGTCGAGTTATAACTGTTACAGTGAATTCAGGTACATCAGGTGCTTGTTGGTTTGGATATAGGTTTCTAATTTCTTTAGCGTTCGAACGGGTAAAGTTTACAAATTTACTGAACACCCTGTATGTTGCCGTACATGTTTACACATATACGGACAATTTTATCTCCAATTTTTTTTTTTTTTTAGCATTACCTAATCAAATAAAACCCGTTGAATGTATAACATAAAATATGCGTGTACGTTTTAAAATAACAACTTATATCAACCATTTGTGGTTGTTCGACGAAACCATAGCGACCTGACACTTGTTACTCACATTTACATAATATTATATTATAATAATGGATGTAGGTACCTTTGCGTCATGTATTCAAAATCGAACTTCGATATACTTATGTAATTACACGCCATGAAACGTGGTTGATATTTTTTAGTAGGTTTACGTTATGGGGCAGCACTCGGTGGGTTGATAATAATTATAGGTTAAGTACAATGTTATTAACATGGACGTTATGATATTATGTAGAGTATGAAAAATGCTTTTGGCCCTTTTTTTTTCTATTAACGAACAGTTTTAGCATGTCGTCTGTGTCGGGCTTAGCTTAACAAAACCTTTTATACATTTTATTTTCCACTTGTTAAACATTTTATTATGCAACTGTATAATTGAATTTATTTAAAAGCATTTAAAAATGGTTAGCTTATAAACGTATCACGACAGCGGTTAAAATCGTAAACAATAATTATCTAAGTACAAAATTACATGAAGATTAATGATTCGATTAAAAGGGTAAAGTTTTTCAGGACTTTCGGAGTTTTATGACGACGCCAAATTTGGCAAAGCTGCTTTGTTTGAGCCGAGTACAAGAAATTATAAGATCAAAGTAAGCATAAGTATAGGATAAGTGAGAATTTTAAGCGGATTCTGTGGTCTTAGGAAAAGGATAACATTTGAGTAATGTACATATTATAATATGAGTTGACTCATAAATGTGGTTCCAGTAGGAGCGAAAATAGCATTGACAGAAAGGGGAGGGGGCTTACGTGAAACTGTGTAAGTTTAAATTAGACTTATTAAATTGGCTATCATTTATAAATCTCTCGCTAAAAGTAAAATCTATAAATGTCGGTATTTTGAACAGCACTAACTTTAAGCTATAAGGTATTGGTATCGCCCAACCCCCCGCCAAATTTCCGCCGACAGGAAAGATGACCGGAACTAATTGAAATCTGTACAGGGAGAGCTGGTGCAAGTGAACAGGTTAGGGATCTTTTAGAGTGGATGTCGCCCCCATTAAATGGGGGAGGGGCGGTGGTCTTTATAAGTTAGGAAGAAGAATGAGCTTAACCGATTGTCAGGCGACAAGCGAGTTGAATGGCACGGCATGATTGCCCGACTTCGTTTAACTTGTTTGCATGCGGATTTCGTCTTTTGGTTAAACCAAGCGTTTGCATTCCGAGTGAACGGTTTAAGTTTATGGGGGGGGGGGGGATCGGGTCGTCCAAAGTAGCAATCACGACGAATGACATTTGAATTATTGGATCATTGGTATTAGTATTGTGTATTTATTTAGCAGAGCTGAACGTGTTCATCCGGTAATGTCTGAGAAAATCATGTTGTTTACTGTAACGAGCAGCGTCTCGTGTTGTGTTGACATTGTCATCACGGTGACTTGTCGGATTTGCACGATAAAAATGTAAACGTGTCAGACCAAAGCGATGCACCCTGTACTTGTAGAAATTGTGTACGAATCCGCCAGACCGTCGCGATAAACTATTTACATATGTATATAATATTGTGTTGTAGGGCTGAACAGAAAGAAATAAAAACGGATAAACGGTAAAACGCTACAAAAAAAGGCAAGGTTTGTTTGTTTTAAAAGAAAAATCCGCTTTGAGTCGCGGGCACCTTCAACAATTTTATCATGGTTCCCGTAAACAAGTATTGTAATTTATTTTATTGCATAAACCACCAAATCAGTCATGTCGAATTTCTTGTACGTTATTTACTTTTGATAAGCCGATGGGTTTATTAATATTTATGGTATTAAAAAATTGTATATTTCGTTATGGTTATATTGTTGCAGATGCGAGTTGGACAGGCCCTGGCCCAACGAGCAAATCTTAAGACGGCCCACGACACTTAATTAAATAACTAAACTTCCATAAGCTAAAATGGAAATTGCCTAGCGGGTACTCGGCCACCTGAGCTAGGAGAAATGTTCTGTTTTCCCAAACGTTACAAATCATGACGTTATGGTGAAAGTTTTGTAAGCTTCGTCATGAACCACCATGACCCTTATTGCATCTGAAAAATATCTGTTGTTCAGCTGAAATATTCCGACGCCCCCAAAGTATGATGGATTTATTTCGCATGTCATTATTCTACAATAGAACACAATAACAACTGCGTTGAACCGTCACGTTTAATTATGCAGATGTCTACCTGTTTTGTGCACGCAACAGGTACATTTACGGCCTCCGAAGAGGAATTAACTTTTAATTATGATTAATTACACAATGTACGACTGACGATATTTTTGCTTGTGCGGCCCAAGCATAGTAGTATTACAATATTATGCTTGGGCCACATTGAAATGCACCGTCGGGTATAGTATTGTCGCCATCAACGTTGTTACGTACATACAATCAAAGGTCTCGGTAAATAAGTAAATAAAGTCTATTTCAAAACAATAAATAGGATCGTTGTTTTGGTGTGCGGATGAAAACATATAAAATCTGTGCCACTACAAAACGCGTGATGCAATGCAGCTGTGCCTACCTAGTGTGTACAGCATAATAACAACAGACTATTTTGTAAGGTATAACATTATCGTTCAACCCTCAAAGGTGATCGGGTGTTGTCGGAGTGAAACACAATATTACCGTAAAGCGAAAACCGATGAAATACGTGCAAATAGGTTGGATAAAAGAAGCAGCGACACACTCATGTCGTGTCACGCGGTACTTGAGAGTTGGTCAGCTCAGGTTTTGCATGTATACTTAACGGTTATTCGGACGACGGCGCTCTGTGCAGCAAAGCGAACCGACACGTGCAGTCCCTGGGATGTACGTCCGGTGACGAAGGCGTATTGTATTTGAAACAATGGTCCAAGATGCAGCAACTGCCCTGCTGTTGTTTGGTTTGTAATAAAACAGAAAAAAAAAAAACACAGGGGAAAATAAGCACACATGTCCCAAACACCGTCATGCCCGACGAATCCGCGGTCGTCGTATGAAGAGGTAAATGTCATGCACATTCGACTTAATCAAGTATTCAAGTTAGTACTTAGTGGTAATAGAATTATTGTTAATACAACTAGTCGAACGAAGTATAAATTATCATGTACATATCGCCGGTATCACATATGGCTGGCGCATATCTAATGTATGTAGTTTGTCCAAAACCGACACAACATTTACACCCAACCAAACCAAGTCACCAGATAGACCCCGGGTATACGTATATTTCCAACAACATTTTATTTAGATGTAATATTTTTAAAATATTTCATTTGCATTAATTTAAATAATACATTATTTGTATTATTTTAAACTTTGTTTTCATCTATTTCATATCTAGATGGCAAAAATCCACACGCACTTTTTACTATATTTTAGAAATATTAATATGATTATTTGCTATTATGGGTTTTGCATTGGAAGGATTATTCTAAAATGTTATTTTACAACAGTTTAAATATTATAAATACATTTAGTGTTCTTATAAATGACATTCCATTATTTAGAACGACTTCTGGCAATGAAATTTATTGTTCACATTTTTGTGGCTCTATCATTACTCAAAGTGTCAATAACAGCTTACAATCGGTTTAACTTAATTTATTGTGCAATAAATATGAACTTATTAAATGAAATGAAAAAATGATATTTTATTGATAAAGAAGAACGGATTAAATACATTAATCTTAGATAGTTAAATAAAAAAATCCAGTACACATCTGGGCATAGTCGGGTCAGAAACATATTGGGATCGGGGATGTCACAAGTTTTTAGAATTTATTTTAACTGATAGTGATAAAATAACTTTCATATAAACGCTTCATTACGAATCTAAAGCCTGGGTATTATTATTATCAATTATAAATGTGGTCCAGTTATTGGGTTTACCTTGCTTGGGTTTCCAGTTTGCTAATGAGAACATTTATAGGTTCCAGGTAGAGATGCAGCCACTTCGTGTATTATTTTTGCTTAATTCAATAAACTTCTACAATTTTCTGTAGCACACTTGAGAGTTTAACGTTCGAAGGGGACGATTTCTAGTTAGCCATTCGAGCGGAATAGAAGTATAAACGAGGACTTCTGGGAAACTTTGAAGTATAGTTGATACAGACTAGCCACGCATCGTTAGGGCCCTTCATAGTTTTGCATATTAACGGTTATTTGAGTTCAGCTTATCCGACTAATTGCCAAATCGACATACCTAGTGTTTACGGTAAACAACTTTACTCGTTCTATCGTATTCAAACGCCTCAGCCTATTTCAGTTAAGGTATAATTATTTTAAATGGAAGTTTCTAATGATTGGAAACTTTCATTAAATAATTATTATTTGCGGCTTACAACTAGTTGTATCAAATAAGGGGAGAAAGCAACACTAAACATTTTAACCTGTGCGTCTTTTTCGGTTGGCGTTTTTTGTTTCAGAAGTTACAATACTACAAAGTTTAATTTAAGCCAATCGTATGTTTTTTTTTTTCATATATTATAATTTTGTGGACGAAATTAAAAGGTGAATGATAATATCATAACATTTTATCTTAAATGAATACATTAATAGAATAGCAAATTATTGAATTAATTTAATAATTAAGTATTACAAAAAGATATTTTTTTCAATAATATTTATTATTGTCTATTTATTGCACAATAATAGTTTTATTATATATTTGTAATTAAAATCACGTTTAAAAATGCATGTGATTCGTTGAATACTTGGAAATACGTGCTCTGATAACGGTAAAACATAAGTAGTGAGTACTCTTGCAAGACGAAGAGTAGTTTTAAATTTTATTCTTTTACGTGTTTACGTCATGTAGTAGGTATTATGTGTAGTTCATTTTTGATATAATATTTTACGAGGCGTTCTTGCTAATGATACTTCATATTTTCAATGTTCGTGCCATTTACCACCAGAAAAATGTTCGGAAAATCATGTACATTTCAAGTTTCAGCGTGTAAACGTATTGTGCCCTAAAATATTGCGGCCCCCGGTTTCTCTGGTGACTAATGATATCCGGAGAATATGCATTATATTATGTGTGCGACACTATACACAAGGCGCGCTCGAACTTCGCTGGATTTCGGGCGCGCTCTTAGGTTGACAAAATATATGATTTAAAGAAAAAAGAAAAAAATTGAAGAAACTGGTAAATTCAAAAAATACGTTTTCACGTGCATCACACAATCTAGACAATTTTAAAAATTGTATTCCCACGGTTATGGTAGAGAAGGAGGAGGAGGAGGAACGTTATGCAAACCGCCACTGACCTGCGAACAGCAAAAACCGGCACCGGTTTGATTTTGACAGGAACTTGTCGTGTTGCACGCTCCAGTTCCGGGTACTTTGAGTTGTGTGTCCTTATAGTCGGGTTGGTACGGTATGAGCATCCTGATTTTACCCCACCGGTTGAAAAACATAATAATTGCGCCGACCCAGACCATGAGGACCAGCACCACAATGGTTATTTCGATTCCTCGTACCTGAAACGACGTCGACGTTCAGTTAAAGGTAGTTAGAAAATATGCTTGTTGTTTTTTTTTAATATTAAAAAGTCGGCTAGTGTAGTGCAAGTCGTCGAAATTAAGTACAATTCAAAATTATCATTTCTTAGCCAGAGCACCATAGAATATTTTAACTAACTAAACCTATATGGCCATATTACTATTAAACTACTAGCCACTGATGTTGTTGCAATATTCTAGAATTGTACGGACTTATTTCTCTTGTGTATACTGAATTATTGTTAGATTAGAGGTAAGAAACGCTTATGTAAAAAGTTTCTTAGTTGCTGAAGCCTTATAAGTATTTTGTAATTTCAAACTAATAAATTTACATAAAATCCTCTGCCTCGAAGAGAATTATTTTATAAACAAATTTTTAAATACAAATTTAGGTAGGTTTTAATTTCACATGAATAACTTTCGGATAGGTTTTAATTTACATGTAATTATATTAGTTATTATGCAGCTTATTGTAGTTTATTAATTATTGATAAAAATGAAATTATTTTTTAAGTTCAACGAAAAAAACCTGTTAAAATAAACTATTAAAATGACGAATTCGTCAAAAGATCAGATGATCAGATGATCTCATGTTGGCAGAATTGGATTTTCAAGACCGGTTAAGCTATATATGGTGATGGTAATTAGAAAAGTGAAAAGTAATAATGAAAAAGCGATCATTCATTTCCTCCGACATGTTCTATAACTGTCTTACTGTACCATAAACATATTATATTTAAGACCAACTTAATTGAATTGCAAGTTGATTCGATAGCATAATATATATATATATATATATACATAATCTTGTGAGTATTTTTTCTTTTTAACTGTCTATTACTTGAACATAAGGAGAAGACGTAGAATCTTCTGGCGGTATTGTATGAGCAGAGCCACCGACAACGTCTGGTGGAGAAATGCCAACGTCACCGCTTGTGTTCATCGTGGAATGCCGTATATCTGGCCAAGACACACCTTTATCTGAAAAAATAAAACGTACTTAAAATATTTCTGTTAAATAAAAAAACAATCTCGACGTTACGTCGTTACCGGATAATTCAATCGAATCAGAAGATTTATCTGAGGTTTATGTGGTTCAATAGCGATATCTAAATACACACCTACAATAACCATAACAAGACCAACAGTTGTGACGGGTTTATAGTTTATACGTTTTGATGATTGGACGCTTTTTAATTTTTATACTCAATATTGAATTTACAAAATAAAAACCACTAGCAATACATTTACGGTGAGGCCAAAGCGACATTTTATATTAATCCTACAATGTAACATCGTAACACGCGTCACAAAAACATAAAATAAAGCAACCGATAAAATACAGTTTTCTTAAAGTAAATGGCAGTAATAAGCAAAGGCGGTTAAAATATAAAACACTCAAAGGCTTATACTATATAATATGTTCTTGTTCGAGACTGAAGTAGTTTTGCGACGATACAAATCTTTGTCACAATACCGCTTTATTATTTTTTATTCGTTAACGTTTTTTTTTTCATACGGCGCTTTAACGATAGTTTCTTCTGAGAGTTTGACATTTTAACATAGGATTTACATTAAACCAGGTAATATGTTGTGTTGTAATGAGTGTTTTTTGTGTTACACTATATCATGAGATAGCTGTTTGGTTTAGACTTGATTATACTTGACCAAATAACGTTTTCAGGTTATGTCTCATAGTTTTCAAGCTATTCAAATTTGTAGGTTTAACTGATTAACTGTTTATCAGCTCTACAATGACCATTGACACAAGTAAATATAATGTAATGTTATAAAGTATAATGCAATGTCATACTAAGTAAATATAAATTGTTTGATGTTGATGGCTTTTACTGAAATACTAAAAATCAATATATTATCTAGCTGTTTTAGCTAATGCACGAATAATTGGAACAATCATTGGCATGGAAACGTGATACATACCAATTATAATTAGTTGCATAATAATAATTTGGAATGTGTTGCGGTAGGCATACAATTGTGGATTATAAATACCATTATATTTAACAACAATAAACCTTACACCAAAAAACCGACACGATCCGAAGATTTATGTAAAGACCAAAAAAAAAAAAAAAAAATAACCGGCAAATTTTATTCAGTTTTTTCAGATTAAGAAGCAAGTAGCGGACTTTTTCAGCTTTTGACTTTCTTAAGTATCGACGACATACGATTTCTGATCGAAAGATATGCTAAGCGAGTAGTTAATTATAAACTATTCATTTACCGTTGCTGATAATTAATATCTCAATTTGTCATAAAATATAATATTATTACATTTTTTAAAAAAAATAACAACAAGACACAACGGTTAAATCTTATGATCGTTTTTTTTTTTTTTTATATTGCAATGTGTTTTTTTTTTTTACATAATTAACGCAATGATACGACAAATGGAATTCAGATTATACTGTTGTATCGTTAAGACTCAAAAGTGAATCACGTTTTCGTTATTGTCTGTATTGTGCGTGCGATAGAAATAAATGAATTATTTTACTAAAAGCGGCCGCTCTTGAGCGATAATTACGTTATTGTTAGACGGCGTTCTGTGTAGGCAATTTAGCTACTGGAATGAATATATCTCTACGGGCTTGGTAAATAGTTACAACGGAAACTTCTGACCGCCAATTCATACGACTCGAGTCAAGTGAGAAAAGTCAGTGGTACGAGTGTGTTGTCTTTGTTACAAGACGTTGAAAACTTGTTAAAATCTAATTATTTTGATATTATATTTCACATACGTACAAAACAATTAAACTCTAATATCATTTTGTAATTATTACGAATTCATTTTAGACTGACAACCGTTGAAGGGGTTTGACCGAGACAAGACGAAAGGTAAATATTCGGTCACACTTATCCTCTAAGTGCACAAGAGGAACGACGATTTGGCTTGGTTTTGGTGACTTACCCGCGGCACAATTATTGCCACTCTTTGTGACCTTCTGTGGAATACACGTATAAGTGGTACGCTACGGTGCATGGTCACATTTATTACACATATTGTAACATCATAATTGTTTGGTGTACTTACTCAGAGTTTTGAATACCACTGGTCTGCTCCTGAACCGTCGGCCTGCTTTGAACGCTGTAACGGTTACTTGATACTGCGTGTTGGGCATCAAGTTGCCGAGTGTTACGGAATCGGAGTTCACTGCTATCTCCGCCACTACCCTATAACTGACCAATGACAGAGAAACGCACTTAAATTTCAAAACCGTTGCATATTTAATTGGCAATGGCGCGGCGCCGATTGGCCAGTCGGTTGCCTATGTACATACATATAATATAAGTATAATAACCGACTAGTCCAACGACTAGTGAAGGAATATCGTGACCAGGCCAGACAAGTGTATATTGATAAAATCGTATAGACTGGGGAATTGCATGTCCGTCAGTCGAGGACATCAACAACGTAACTCATCATAATATTAAATTATTTTTTGTTGTGTTATTACTATTATTATTATTATATTTTTTTTTTTTTGCAAAAGCTATAGGTTTAAAAAGTTGTGTTTTGTATTTTAATAATCTAAAAACGATTGCGAAACGAGCGGAATCCGATTATTACATGACTACTAGACAATAAATGATTAAAAAACTCAATTGGATGTTAAAAATAGAGTGTAAAAATTGTAGGCGCTCGTGTGGTTCTAAACGGTTATAGTCTGCACTTTTCCCCTTTTAGATTGGCGCATTTGTCAAAACCAAAAAACGTTTTATCTTTTTTTGGCCAAAATAAATGAGATTCCCAGCACGGGATGTGATATTTTTATGCGACCTCGTTTTCTATTAGGGATTAGCAGTGGCTCTTCGGATGAACATTCTAATAAAATATTTCTTCAAGGATTTAAATAAATGTTGTATAAATTGCCCTATTTAACTAGATCGGATTTGAGTAAAATTGAGCTTTAAGCGAATTACACTAATACATGTTACAGCTGTCAGATAAACAAGGAGTTTAAAAATCATCGTTTTAATATGACTAAATGTAATTTTTTTAAGTACTTTTGGGTTTTGACAATTTGATGTTTGATACGATCTAACTTTCGAGTATAAATTTTTATAAGAAAGTTTTGTTTATTTACAATTATAACAATTAGGTCAAATTCGATTTGTTAATCAGGATAAATATACACTTATACCATCAGGGTTGCTATTTTAATATAATTTAAAATATATAAATATTTAAATGGCGTACTGTCATACCTGGCGTTAGTGGGTTTGTACATGACGTCATATTTTTCAATACCTCTCAAAGTTATTTTCCAAGATACTTTGACAGTAGTTGGACTAATAAACATGACTGTGATGTCATCAGGTGCTTGACCGACGGATGAGCACCCTGTTGAAGTTAAAACAAACTTTAATTATTGAAATTCATTATAGGTACAACTCTTTTGAAAAATAAGAACATAATTGATTATTAAGCTTTTATTCTGGACAATAGCTTTAATTTTTTCTGTTTTCTGTATTAGTTTTTAAATAAAAATTTTCTTTTTAAAATTTCAATTTTGTTACACTATAATTAAATATATTAACCGTGTATCGTAATTATGACTGGGCGATTATCGATTAATCGTTTTGAAATATTTAAACAAACGATTGATTGATTGATTATAATTATTCTTATTTATAAAATAATTACCAATAGTCGAATACTTAATAACATGATCGAATTGTTGTCAATAATCTAATTTCTGTTTACCCATCCCTTATTGTAATAATGAATACAACAACTTAAAAAAAAAAAATGTGATTTTGTTGTCAAATGTTTGTATATTTCCTACAATCTAATATATTTGTGATTTAAAATTTAAATAATAATTTAATTTATGTACTTCTAACGCATACAATATTACATTATAATTTATGATCATGATATACATTGTACAGAGAAAATGGTGTTGTAAATTTAGATACTCATAATAAAATGTACGATATAAATACCATCATTGTATTAATGATACACGAGCTTAAGTCAGAATTAAAAGAGAAGTATATTAAGCATATGTGTTATTATCAGTTTATTACACGCTATTTAATGAAGACGCGTTTTGCTTTTGTCACCACGAACGCATTATCTCGGCACTAGAGAAAACAGACTGGTAAATATTATGCACAGCACGCAAGTATACATCAGAACAATAACAGTTATATTATACAACAAGGGTTTGAACGTTAGTTTTTATTATACTTTTCAGAACCCTTTTTTTATTAGGTTTTGTTCAGCAAAAAAAAAAAATATATATAAAATTATAGCGTTAAATTAGATTGTACTTTTTATCATTGCGCTATGAAAACGGTTTCGATTTCGAAAATCCAAAAATAATTTATTTGATTTTAATCACCGTTAGATATCTAATGTTTATAATCAAATTAACTATATGAAGCCAACACATAGACACATTAAAGTTGTTTTTATTGATGCGATTTTTTGTTCATTTATCAGAAATCCTTTTGATATGTTACGGTACTGGTATACTGGATTAGCAAAACCCCCCTCCCCTCTTCAAAATATTAATGTTGTGCAATCGAATGTTTAATTAAATTTCACGCGAGTCGGTCTTTATCGGGATCGAGTAGGCCAAGGAATAAAGTAGACGAAACCTTTAGCGGACGGAACAGAAACCATTCAAACGGAAATTGAACGAACGAATGAAAAAAAAAAAAAAATACCGAGTCTGTCTCTTCTAATTGAAAAAAACGATACTGACGACGGTGTATACCACCAGAGGAAGAGGTATATATTGTGTAGGTGATTTCCGAATAGATATAATGAATATTAAGGCGAATTCTGGATCGATAGCCGAATGACACGACGAATGAGCATGGGTACGGTAAATTGTTTCAATAGAAGTTCGTCGTTTGCGCGACGATGCGATTTTTCATTGTACTTACAAACTGAATGAAATCCATGTAGTATGAAAAAAATCTCCCACAGTTTCATACTAAACTACGCATATTGACGTTTAGTCGATTTGGCGTTGACAACAATTCATCACTGCAAATTGTTTATGTTCATCGACGATGCACTAATTCAAGTCCTCCCCTCCTACTGTCACGATTCCTCAGTGCTTTGAATCTGAAACAATGTTTGGAAAAAATCATAAGACATATTCGAATACAATAGAATTTTTTAAAAGGGTTAATGCGTTAATTTTGTTGTTTAATCGGCTACATAGGGTTTTCAGGATTGGTTGGTTTTTGAACGCATTCCACCAATGTATGTTATCATTTTTCGGATCCGCTCTGTTTATTGATGTTATTTTTTCAAAATAAAGGTTCAAGACCAATAATATTTATTTGTGTATTTCTAAGACACGTTGTACACAAGTTTAGTTTTTAATTATTTTGTGTGTCCTAATTTAAAATGAAATAATGCTATTCGTATTTTTTTTTCAAACTCTTTCGTATCAAGTTTATAATAATGAAAATGTATTACAAATGTATCATTGTTGTTGTTAATAGACCATTACTTATAAATAAAATATCGTCTTTCTACGTATCCCATTTAATGTTGTTCCCGTGGTTACAGAGAAAAAATACTTTTGCAGCATTAAGCGGATTTAGTAAATTAAAAAGCTGGAAGTGCGTTTCTCCATTTTTCTTTTCAAACTGTACTCATTTGTAAATGAGTAATGTAACACACAATGATTCTACAAAATACTCCTGGTATCGCAAGGAAGTTTGGAAACATAAACAATGTGGTTTAAAGTAAATGGCACTATCATATAGTTTCCTGAAACATATTATCGCCAAGTATAAATTACATTTTGTTTTCTCTCTTGTATTTCGTTCTTTAGCTAGTTCTGCAGAAACCATATTTTATCGTATAAGCATTTTTTCATTTTTATTTATTCGCATTGTTAATAAGGCAGTGGTAACTACCGAAATGATAAAATTAATCAAATGTAATCTGTTATATAATAAGTCCAAAACATTATGAGCTCATTTTTAAAATTTTTAAAAATAAGTCCAGTTATAAGTTGTAGTGCATCTATTAAACAAATTGCAACTGAACAAATAAATACTTAAATTAAGGTCATGAAAAATGCATTGTTTTGCTTTCTTGTGACTTTATCATATAATATGATATTATTATTATATCTCACCAATTAGTGACCGCTTTCATTTTATTATGGCAATTTTTTCAATATATGATTTTTCATTATTAAAATACGTTTTTAGTTTTTATAAAATATGTGTGGCATATTCCTGTTTCAATTAGTTTAAGCTCAAAAACCCTTACATAATTATACCTATAGCCATTAGACAATCTACGTACTACATATGTTGAGTATATTGTATAACCGTTATACAATTCACAGATAAGTTAATTGTTTTTTTGTCTATTCAATATTCAAGTTAGATCCCTAAAAGAGAAAATAATACCTACATAAATTATAACACAACAGTATAAAGGGAAGGTAAAGTAATGGTTTGTCCATTAGGATTAATACAATTTCATTTTTCTATACACTAAGTTTATAATTTAGCCACTATATTGGCTGTAGCCTTGAAAATAGAACTACACGTGCTCCTTTAGCCTATTAAAAGGTCGATAGCCATAGCTTATTTTTTCATAATACACTTTGTCTAAAATATTGACATGTCTAGACTACATAATAGTATATGTAAAAACGATTTATTTTCTGAAATGCCACTTGTGTTGAATTATTATTTATATTCTCAGAAAGACAATAATCCAAAAAAAAAGGCCAAAAGTTTTAGCTAACACTATTAAATCTTTTTTTTTTTAGCGTTTTTATTTTCATATTCAAACTGGTTTTTTAATTGGAATATTGGAATCAAAACCTTTCTACTATTTACACTATTTACACGCCTTGCGGTTACTCTCATTTGGATATCTTGACTGGTTCGCCAACGTTTCGAAACACTTGCATGTTCTATCTTCAGGGCTCTGGTTCGATGTCGCTCGTACCGTGTTTTCCCGTAGATATCCAAATGGGAGTAACCGCAAGGCGTGTAAATATAATACCCCTTTTCTACTATATTTATGTACATTACATAGTAAACTATACATTTTTAATAATATACATTTTTTTTTCTCTAAAACTTTGAACGTTGAATTGGGTCGTCGTCTCGGTAAAATGTATCTGGATATTATGTTTGTAAGGTGTTCTTAATTTTATTTAAGTAAACACTTTCCCCCTCAATGATTTCGAAGTGTGTAAATAAAGAGTTTATTAGCCAAAGGTATTTAGTTTTCAGATTCTTCTCTTTATGTTTGTTTTATTAATTGACTTTTAATAATCGTCTGTCAACCAATAATGCCCGACAAGAAAATTCTATTGAACTATATTTTATGTTATTATTATTATTTTTTTTTTTATAAAAGTTTATTTTTAAAGTTATACTGATACATATTTAATGTCTATCGCGAACCTTAACATTTCATAACAGGAAATCGATAACAGTAAATTTATAATTAAATAATTTTGTAGTTTAGAACTTATGTGTACAAATTTCTCCAAGGAAATGTTGCTAGTTTTATAAATAGTAATTACGACCATGTGGAATTTAGATCTAGAATAGTACCGGGTATTTACTTAAGTATTTTTTTTTATCTCAGTAGTACTATTAAACCAGCTTTGTACTTTCTTTTTGAAGCTAACGGTAGGATCTAAAATGTTATCTCACTGTAATCTTAGTAGTATATTCTTAAACCAGCTTTATAATTGTTTTTGGTTTTTAACGGTAGGATATAAAATTTCCCTTCCGGCATTATTTCCACAAAAACGTAAGCAACACTTGTGGATATATAGTATAAAATCATTAAATATTTAAATAAACCCTTAACCACAAAATTAATACTCTTTATATAGCGTATACGTATTCCGGCAGCAATGTTCCAACATCAGCGCATACAACGGACTGAACCCTTTGCCATGTTATTACTTTACATTATCTTGCAATGTGTACAATTTGCTAAACAAAACTGAGTAAATAAAAAATATAAAACCACCGTGTTATTTTATGAATTCAGAAATGTTCTCTACCAATGTAATCAAATTTTTTTATCATGAATTTTTACTAGCTCATCGCTGAAATACATTATTTATATATCGCTATAAACAACGAATAGAACAGTCATTACGATTTATTCAAATATGTATAGTTCGTTCAGTGATCATTTAAATTACATAATTTCATAAATAATCGGATCAATAAATACAAGTGGCTTCATATTTTTAACGTCCCTAAAGACAATTATCAACTCTCCGCCACGCCATTGATAGTATACATTTTAACTATGAGGTCAATACCACGAGGTAGAAGGACACGCCAAATGTAAATATTTAATCTTAAAATAACCTTAGTTTATTGTTTGATCCAGAAACATTTTTAATTTCTTTGGGTTACTCGCTACAGCCTGTTTTTAATAATATAGTCTATAATCTTTATTTTTATACATTATAAATTATAAGGTTATTGAAATTAGGTCGAATATGGCACGCTATCGGATATAGACTTACTACAACGCGTTTCTTAAACTATATCTTTAATCATACTGAATTTAATAAAATGTATATGTGAACATGTAATCAATTTGAAAATAATATTTGTTAAGTTACAATGTGTACGATATCTATATAGGTATTTATGAAAATATACCGTACAATAAAATTACTATACAACCAAACATAAAATTGACATAGTACTGTTATACGATATTAGGTCATCGTTAACATATTTCCTACTCAGCTGGGTCAAGATCCCAAAAAAATAAAATTTATTGCCCATTTAAAAAATCAAAATATTGTTTTAATGCGCGCCAATACATTAAATAGTTTTTAATTATTATCAATTTAACGTTATACATAGTATTTGATCGTCATACACATGTATAATATTATTTTATATGATCAAAAACAACGATCGTTTAGAATATTGTAATTCAATTTTTGGAACCTCAAAGTGGAGGCGATATTATGTTGTATTTTGTTTTACGGAGAAGTCAATTGCCGGCTTTTGTATGATTTACGTCACTAATTTATGTTTCTTCCATAATACCCATTTGAAAATGGCGGTCTGACATTTAGGGTTTAATTAATTTAAGCAATTACACTACAGGAAATTCTTATTTAATTTATCATGTAATTGCTTGTGCCATATATTCTGCCAAACAGTTGTATCAAGTATGTTATTCGAGGGACGTTAAAATACGTCTATGTTATTATAATATGTCTATTATCTAACTTCTACTGAAAGCCGATATTATATAATTTCTAGAAAATAAATGATCTATCATGGATAACAATTTATCAAGTGAAGAAGGGTTATCTGCAATCTCCTTAGATTTTAACTTTGATGATGTGCTGAAAATCGAAGAGTCTAGTTTTAATTTTAAAACAAATTTAAATAGAGATAAAATTATCTCTAATCATGTGTAAACACACAGAATTTATTCAATTAATGATGATAATAATAGAAATACATTTTCATTTCGATAGCTAATCTCTTTTCAATATCCGAGATTATTTTTCTTAAAATACCTACATTGCAAAACGGGTTTATATTTACTTTACTTCAAAATGTTTGCTTCGTTTTAACCTTTATAACGGTTGTATATATATCTTGATTTCTTAAAAGACGGACTTTTGATTTGACGGGTTAAGATTACCACCAACGTTGACCAAACAAGTTTGGAGCCCCGGGGGAGAAGAGTGTCGGTTTGTTTCTCTAGTCATTCGCCTGTCTAGAGAAATATATTGCGAATGACTAAGAGTGACACCAGAGAGCGAACTTGTTGACTTAAATAGCTTAAGATAACTAATTACTTGTTATAGGGTTCCATTTTTGGATATTTTGTTGTCATTTTTAAAAATGTATTTTAGCATAATCAATCGTTGTGTTACTGATGCCGTTTAGATTGATATAATCAATTGTATACAACGAGATTTATTGTTAAAACCTAAATACTCTTGTTTTATTTAATGTGTATATAATGGATTTTTTTTAACATAGAATGGAGAGAAGATTAAAACAAGGATTGACCAAATTTCTTCGGAAATACATAAATCATTATTGCTCATGAAACACATTTTTGACATATTAGTG